TATCTTTGTTCTTTTGTTTGTTGTTTAACACTGCAGACAGCAATATTCCAGCTATATGACGGAGGTATATAGATAACTGAGTCTGGACCAGACAATCCAGTGACTGACAACATGAGCATCGACACACGCAATTGGTTGGTTGGTTTGTTTGTTGTTTAACGCCGCACTTAGCAATATTCCAGCTATATGACTGTAATAAAATTGAGTCTGGACCAGACAATCCAGTGATTGACATCATGAGCGAGCCTCCACCCGATCCCGTTAGTCGCCTTTAAGGAAAAGCATAGTCGCCTTTAACGGAGAGTATAGGTTGCTGAAAACCTTTTCTATCTCGGAAATCTTCACGGGTCCCACGCAATTGGTACACAATGACATGCATCAATCAAGTCAGTAAGCCTGACAACCCGATCCCGTTGACCCGTGAAGATTCTGGGGTAGAATAGGTCTTCAGCAACCCATGCTTGCCGTAAAAGGTGACTATGCTTGTCGTAAAAGGCGACTAACGGGATCGGGTGGTCAGGCTCGCTGACTTGGTTGATGCATGTCATCGATCCCAATTGCGTGGATCGATGCTCATGATATTAATCATTGGATTGTCTGGTCCAGACTCGATTATTTACAGACCGCCGTCTTCACGGAAAGATTTGTAATAGTGGACTGAGATATTAAAATTTAGTGTTTGTTTGCAAATGTTGACTTGAATTCAAAATAAACCTATTTACATTATTTAGTGTTGGTATTCAGCACTAGATTAATTCTAGAGTCGTTTCTGCTGAATAATCATGGATGTACCAAGACTTCGTTATGAAATATGGCAGGAAATTCCTCGAAGAAAACGGGCATTTGATTCTTCGAAAACGATGAAACAACGAAACGAAAAAAGGAAACAATCGTCGTCTACTGACGTTTCTAGAACTATTCGCTTTTACTTACGCTATTATTTTTTCCGAAGCAGAACTCCGATACTGTTAAAAATTTCTTCATCAAACTTTGCATTTATATCACTCTAGTGGTGAAGTTGTGCCTTTTGCTATTTTGCAATTATTCAATGTTTTCATCTCAAATTTTCATGTAAACATGTTGGACATAGGCTCACTATGTGAGTGATGTTAGTTTCCGAAGCAGGACTCAAAAACTGTTGAATATTTCTCCATGTTACTTTTCATAGGTTTAAACTACATACTGAACTGGTGCCTTTTTCTATTTTAGGATTGAATTTTCAGTCTCCACGGAAGCAAATTCGACTTAAGTTCAATTTGGGATAGGGTTCATTTCCTGAACAGAACTGAGAAACACACTTGTTTTACTTTCTATTTCATATGGATGCGACCATGGTGGATCTTTTGTGGGTAAACAATGTATGCTTCTTCAAGAACATTCAAATCTTGACTCATTACATACAGAATTGCACATTTACTTGTGGTTACTTAACAAACAGCTGCCGGGGGGATATGTCATATTTCTGATGACTCTTGTTTGAATCAACATGGAGCTCCGGGGTGCTTTTGAACAGACCGAACCTTCTGAACGTGAATTGTTGATACCACCTTCTTATCAAATATCTTCGCGTGAAGACACCTCCGAAGAACTCTTCGTTGTTACTCAGTCAGCGCTACAGAATTGAACTGATCGGGGTCATTATCATGCAACTGAAGAGAATTGTACGCACGCCTTAAAACTGCATGAAATGAGCAGATTTGGACATGTCGGAAAGTTTACTTCAGTAGTGGTCAGCATTGTGTTAAAAGGAACACGTCTCGTCACATTGAAGGGGGATGTTTCAAGCGAATACTCGTAATGTTCATTGCTTGTTGATGTCTGGACTTCGTTTTGTACAATATGAAAGGTTTTGTACACTTGCTAACATGGGCGTCAGTTCGCTTTATGATCGTCATTATGACATTGTTAGTGATATGGCTAAGGTGAGGTGAGGTGAGGTGAAATTGGGTTTAACGTCGCGTCCAAGATTATTGCACTTATATAGCGACGTGCATGCACGTGTATGTGTGTGTGTGGCTGCTTGTACTAGTCCGGACTGATGCCGATTTATAGTGCTAGCTCACTGAGATACCATGCCGCAGTTTAACATGAATACCCCACTCAGACACAGTATACTGACTCCGAGCCGACCAGTCCTTGTTTTAGCCCCTTAATGCCGAGCGCCAGACAGGGTAACAACAAGTACAATCTTTTAACGTCTTTTTGTATGACGCGGCCCGGGATCGAACCCCGGACCTTCCGCTCTCCGGGCGGACGCTCTACCACAAGACCACGGAGGCGGTCTGATATGGCTAAGGAATCGGGTTAGGCCGTGTCGAAAGAGGCTGTGGGTATCACATTGTTGAAATCTATTGATCAGAAAGAAGATTATCGAGGCATTGACATTATGAAAAGCTCGACATGGGTGGAGAAAAAAGGCAGCTGAGAGCGACATTTTCGCTTTGAGTTGCGAGACCAAGAAATGTGTCCATGCCGGAGTAGTGACAAGAGAGGATGATCCGTGTAGCCAGCGACATGAAATGCATGGTTCTCGAAAATTGTATACTACTTACCACCCGTTAGTCGCATGGTTCTCTATTACGGCAAGCATGGGTTGCTGGAGACCTGTTCTACCCCGGATCTTCACGTGTCTCTTTCGGTATCACATGTTCTGATACAAACACGCATCTGTCTAGTTAATATAGAGTTTCATTTATGGAATAAAGTGACGTTATTTATATATATTTTCTGGTTTACACTTTCCCACAAAACACACAAAATAAATATCCCAGGTGGTCTCCGCAGTCGTGCGACATGTATGCTCAAAAGATGAAACAATACGACTCACTTAATCTCCATATGCAATACCCAATCCTACCTCCCAAAACAATCAAGTCTTTAGGTTTTCTGTCTAAGTCAGACTTTGCAAACTGTGTCTTCCATTATGTCCAGATCGCCGTCATATAGACGCCGAAATCAGAAGGGATCATGAGACATGAATGTTATGATCGTTCGTGCGGAGACAGCTTTGAAAAATGACAGCCACAGATAGAACGATTAGATTTTGACACTTCAATGAGCGACCCGTGAAGATTCCGGGGTAGAATAGGTCGTCAGCAACCCATGCTTGCCGTAAAAGGTGACTATGCTTGTCGTAAAAGGCGACTAACAGGATCGGCGGGTCAGGCTCGCTGACTTGGTTTGATGCATGTCATCGATCCCAATTGAGTGGATCGATGCTCATGATATTAATCACTTATTTACAGACCGCCGTCATATAGCTGGAATATTGCTTAGTGCGGCGTTAAACAACCAACCAACCAACCAACACTTCAGTGAGCGGTCGTCAAATCTTTCTGAGCAACTGGTATTGTTGATTCTGGTTGTCCACAGTATCATGTGAGCTCTCTACCTTTGCTTTTGTGCAGCTTTTCATCCCCACTACTGATCCCGTACAGTGATTTCAAACAAACCATCAAGAGTTGTACGCGGGATCTCATGCAGAGGTACTGTAAGTCCCCATGATCCCCAGTGAGGTGGCCTAGCTTTGGTTACTGGTGGCCTTTAGCCCGTGTTTTAAAACTGTATACATGATATTGTTATGCTCAAATATGTTTCATGAATTGTTTCTAAATAAAGTATGGTCAAATATGTTTTACAACTTGTTTTTAAACAAAACTTTGCATTAATGACAAAATTGTAAATATATTAACTTGGTCTCGTCGCTATATGGCTGAGATAATGCCGATGCGACGTTAAATTTTAACTCACTCACTCATGCAAAAGAGGTGGGACCCCAGTAAGAAGCAATAAACTTCACGAATTAAAACCAACATTCGGTCATACCTACTTGGGTTGTCAGTCAAGACATGACGAGGTCGTTTAAGACGATGTATTGGCCACAGTCGGTTTACCCACGAACATCTGCTTAAGAGAGATGAGGACCAACCTCCAAAGTGTATCCCTTGTAATGAAAGGTTCGCCGTCAAGTATGTATTGCTTGACTGCGTGGACCTTGCAATCGCAAGGGATTCACATCATCAAAGCTTTAATCTGAAAGATCTCTTTTTCCGTGTCAGGCGGGCATCTCATCTTGAATGAGTTGAAAGAAATTGGTCTGTATTATAAATTTTAAATATGTAAGTGAATAATTAAATGCTTGTTTGTAAATTTGGCGTGATACTATCATCAACAGGTGTTTTTAACCAGTGTTTACATTGGCTAGTATTGAGCACAACCACCAGTGGCTAAAGTGATGACGTAAATCCTGCTGGGGTATCATGCAGGAAGTATAGATACTGTAAGACCCCATGATCCCCAGCGAGGTGGCCTAGCTTTGGTTACTGGTGGCCTATAGCCCGTGTTTTTAACTGTATTAATGCTATTGTTATGCTAAAATATGTTACATCAATTGTTTTTAAATAAGTATGGTAAAATATGTTTCATAACTTGTTTTTAAATATAATTTTGTATAAGTAACTAAATTGTAAATATATTAACTTGGTCTCGTCGCTATATGGCTGGAATAATGCCGATGCGACTCACTCACTTATGCAGCTTTATGATCAGATTGGGAAGGCGCCGTGTACAACGTGATGAACCTCTAAGATCCACTGGCATAATTCCAACTGGTAAAACTCAGCGAGAGGTAGACAACATGTTCCTTGGGTCTCATTCTGTGACTTGCAGACTTTGGAACAGGTTTCCGCAGACACAAAAAATAATGATCTGCCTCGCACAGGGCGCCTAGGTCAACAAAACAAGTCGAGTATCGATAGTCAGAAATCGAGGTCGAGGGTGGGACTGGCACTATAACACATTAAACCTCTTCATTTTGTTCCGCTTGGTCCTTTAATTTTGCTTTTATGGCCAAAAATATTCGTATTGCGTTTCTTTATTTTTCAAGAGGAAATATTTCAGCGATTTGGTTTTAGGTGTGCACATTTTACAAATACACAAACATATTATTTCTGAAGTCATCTTATGGGGTAGGCTAGTTTTTGACATCGAGCTCAGACTAATTACTTCACCACAAGGGCTGCACCCAAGGCAGAACTACATTCTTCGCCGTGAACGACAACGGTGACGTCGTACAACTCGCGAAGGCGTTGACTGATCGATGGTATAGCTGCTGTCACGTGGCCAACAGCGTGTATCGTTGAGATTCCTCGCCCCTTAAGGTATTCAGCATTCATATGATTGCTGATTTCATCGACAACACCAAAGCAGAGTGATTGGAAAACCTGCCCTAAAGTCATGTTTTCGGGAGTTATCCCCCTTACGCTGCAGGAAGGTGAAGGTTGGAAAAATGTTCCAAATAATTTGGGGTCTATATTAAGATCGCTGTTTGTTGCATCCAGGGCGAGTGAAGGCAGTTTTCTCCATATAGTTTCTTCATCCACGACCACACCTAAAAACAAAAGTGTTTGCAAACAAACACTGCAAACATCGTGACATGTTTATCAAATATAGGCTTACTTATGAAAATGAACATTATATATACAATGTTACATAACACATCCTGAATATTTCTACATAGTGTTATGTGCAACGCAGCGCGATGAGGAACCGACCATTTTTGATATTTGGTGTGTGTGGTGTTGGTGAGGGGAGGGGGGGATTATTGAGGAGTACTGAGATTTTGTCTGCATATTTTTTCAGCTTAAGGTGCAAAATCTTTTCTTTAAATTACAACTGTGAGCATGAGCATTTATTAAAGAAAAACACATTGCAACGATGTTATTTTTGTGGCAGACAATTATTTTTCAACCATCTGAAGTATATATCTTTTCCTTTACAGAACCTTCTGGGGCATTTGTTTCCGATCGACAAAGTCCAAACCGCGGGATAGAATCAACTCAGATGTCCGTACATGAACGCACTTAATGATATTCTACTCAATCTATCCAGATGATATAAACAACGTACCCAAATCCTGCAACCAGCTGTACAGCATCTTGACAAAGGCCTCCAGTACATTCCCACCGTCCAACCCACTGCAGGATGCATAATGACCTCCGTGGAAGAAGGGCTGATACTCCAGGTTTGCGGGCGTATCTGGAGGACGCTTGTTAGGGTCGAAGCTGGCGTCAGTTATGACGTAACCAAGTTGTGTCGACGTTCCAATATAGAACACTAGAAAATGAATTGACTCATGCAAGTGGATACACAATGCGATTTATTCCCATTTAGGAGGATTCCTGTCCGCGGTGATTTCAGGTTAGAATAGGTCCACGGGAAACTATGTTAGTCGTAAGAGGCGACCAAAGCGATTGGTCAGTCTAGTTGACTGGGCTAATTGCGTGTCATCGTACTCCGACGGCGTGCATCTTTGCTTATAATTTCAATCACTGAATCATCTGGTCAAAACTCGATTATATAGAGCCGCCGTCACACAGCTGGAATATTATGGAGTGCAGCGTTAAACACCAACGGACCATTCCACGATACACCGTCTGTATAGCGAAGCAGTTAATTACGACCTCATAATTATAAGACCACGTTTCAGTGGAGTTCTGTTGGATTGTCTACTCAACACAAAGTCATTTACTCTGATGCCCGTAAAGATCCGGGGTAGAACAGGTCTTAAGCAGCCCAGGCTTCCCGTAAAAGGCGACTGTGCTTGTTGTAAGAGGCGACTAACGGGATGGGGTGGTCATGCTCGCTGACTTGTTGATGCATGTCATCGATCCCAATTGTGTGGATCGATGCTGATGATGTCAATCACTGGATTGTTTGATCCAGACTCGATTATTTACAGACCGCCGTCATATAGCTTGAATATTGTTGAGTGCTGCGTTAAACAACAAACAAACAAACAAACAAACAAACAAACCTGCATCGTGCACCCCAGGTCTGACAGAGTGGACTGCACACTGGGTGTCCATCGCACCCACATACACTGGCACCCCGTCCTGTATGTGGCCCCAGGGGCGAGGCAGGTGCCCCACAACAGTACCGCTCGGAACAAGAGACGGCAGCATGTGAACCGGGAACCCTGCTTCCTCTAATCTGAAACAGTGGATGAATGTGAGTTAATGTCAATGCAAGTCAGCAAAATTACGTGCATTCTTCCAAAGTGATTTTGCTTCGCTACCAACAGTGTTCCAGCTACCTAACGTCTATATATATAAATAAGTCTTGACCACAAACAATGGTCACTCTTGCCGAACTTGGATGTTATTATGGAGTTACATTTTGGCTGGACTAACGAGTCTATGAATTGTCCAATCAAAATCGAGCAACGAAATCGAAAACCGGTTCGGAAACTATCTTGCAGATTTCGGTCGATTGCAGGATTTGCAAAGCATGTGCACCGCCAACTCGTCAACAGATATTTTCCAAATCTGTTCATGCTTTTAATCAAGGTGCTCGCGGGATTTGATGTACTTCGCGATGAAAGACCCGTTTATCCAAAGATATATCTTGATTGTCGATCAGATCGTCTTGACTGAGCGCCGCCATTTCGTTTGAAACAAATGCAAGTGATACGAGAGGTGAAATCTGATTGGTCTGTAGTAGAGGCTTAAAAGGGACATAACACGTAATAGCCACTGGTGGCGCTACGTTCGAGCGCAGGAATTCCAGTCTAGTTCAGCACGGGGGGGGGGGGGGGGGGGGGGGGAAACTGGACTTTTAAAGTCAGTTAACTCTCTTGCCTTGGGAAGATTCCAATGGTTGACTGTAGTGTCATGTTACTGTCAACACACGCCGCGGTTCGATGACACGCAAACAACCCGGGTACAGAGCCTGGATGCTGTGACAGTCGTCTCTTGTGACAAGCTTGATACAGGGGTACAATCCTGACCTTGAATCCTAACTGGCGTGGCATTTGTACATTGCACAAGACACAAGTGTCATAGTCAATACAATGATCATATGGCATCACGTCAAGTCACGGACCGCCTCCGTGGTCTAGTGGTAGAGCGTCCGCCCGGAGAGCGGAAGGTCCGGGGTTCGATCCCCGGCCGCGTCATACCAAAAGACGTTAAAAGATGGTACTTGTTGTTACCCTGTCTGGCGCTCGGCATTAAAGGGCTAAAACAAGGACTGGTCGGCTCGGAGTCTGAGTGGGGTATCCATGTTAAACTGCGGCATGGTATCTCAGTGAGCTAGCACTATAAATCGGCATCAGTCCGGACTAGTACAAGCAGCCACACACACACATACACGTGCATGCACGTCGCTATATAAGTGCAATAATCTTGGACGCGACGTTAAACCCAATTTAACCTCACCTCACCTCACGTCAAGTCACGTCATGTCAGAGGTGTTTCTACCTTGTAGTGCGACACTACTACATCCTCCGTTATATCATCACATGGACTACAAAAATACTGTAACCTTAAGGATAATAACGGTAAAACAAATTGCGTAACATATTGTAAGTAAATATTGTTAAGTGTTGGTTATCGTTATGTTTGTTGTGACAACATCTTGAAACTCACTTTAGTTATTTGATCTGTGATCTGTGATCTGTGAAGATTCCGGTGTAGATAGGTCTTCAGCGACCCATGCTTGCCGTAAAAGGCGACAATGCTTGTCGTAAGTCGTAAGAGGCGACTAACGGGATCGGGTGGTCAGGCTCGCTGACTTGGTTGATGCAGTTGTGTGGATCGATGTTCATGATATCAATCACTGGATTGTCTGGTCCAGACTCAATTATTTCCAGACCGCCGTCATATAGCTGGAATATTGCTGAGTGTGGCGTTAAACAACAAACCAACCATCCAACCAATATTTGATCTGTGCACATAGATGTATATATGCAAGAGGGATATCAATATTGGTGAGTGAGTGAGTGAGTTGCGTTTAACGCCGCTTTTAACAGTATTCCAGTTATATCACGGCGTGTCAGTTTAATGTGGTAGGAAAGCCCGAAGTGATGCACATCTCAGACGTTAACCACTTCGGTGAAACCCACGAGCACGGTGCTGACAAACCTAGAAACATAATCGGGGCGAACCGGGATTCGAACCCACAATCATAGCTTTCTGGCGTGCCCAAGGGACGCAACTCGGCGCAGTCAATCGCGGCGCCTCGGATGACTGGGCTACACGTGACCCGGATATCAATCTGAATGTTTATCCAACAAATGCATCTATTACAAAACAGTCGAAACTCTATATAAAGAATATTATTTATGATGTATATTTATGTCAATAAAAATTAGATTGCAATATCAGGATTGCGATGTTCGTCTCAGAATCTGTTTATTACATTTGTTCAGGTGTTCAAAGAGAAGAAATTATGTCAGCTGTGCGACCTAAACAAGTTTCAAGACGACAAGTAGCGTTACTTTCCCTTCACTTGTGTCCAATCTATTCACCACTAGATTTTAATACTCGCAAGAATATTATTATGTACAGCAATATTAGATTCTTTATTCTCTGTTGAACAATGGATATACTTTAAATTTACCTCAATTGTCATTTATTTATAATTTATTTCGTATAATTTATTTAGAATTGTTAATTTATAATGCAAAGTTGCACAGAAAACAAACACTCATATCATAGCCTGTTACAGGTTTCACGGTTTTACATTTATGTTTTGAGCTTTAAACTTCAGAAAAACATTTCGCAAGTTTAAAAAAAACAGTCCTGGATTCTGCCCAAACACTTTGGTCTTTCCCAAGCATGGTCACGTGACTTCAGCATGGCGTTAGAAAGGCCAGAAAAAACAACTATTAAAGTATGTAAGTTAAAGTTTGACTTTCCACCAACCGGCAAATTGCGTGATGTATACTAACCGCCAAAAGAAACGCGAACAATAAAAAATACATATAGAGAAGTATGTACGTTAAGAGATGTTTCCAGTGTGACAATACTAACAATCAGCCAAATGTAAACACAGAGTGACTTCATGCCTATCACGTCATTGCCGCACATCATTTCCAAACTTTACACGCTAAACATGCACGAGGCAAATTTATTAATGGTGCATCTCGAGTCATGGATCTATGACATCACACGTGATGCGTTCATGAGCATCGGCGTACACATACCAGTATGTTCGTTTGTGCAACAAACGAATAAATATGAAAATGAGTAAGTCTTCATAAATTAGCCAACATGTATGGTATTCGCGTTTCTTTTGTTGGTGAGTATATGTAAAAATGTCTATTTCCAACTCACATATCTGAATTCCAGGACGCAGACTTGGCGTCGAAGTACCCAAAGCTGTATGCTAGCAGCTCAGATGTAGTAGCTGTCCCTCGCTCACACAAGCCTGCAATTAGGTATTCGATGATCGTCCCCGCGCAGTCGTAACCTTTCTCCTCTATCAGTCCAGGACGATGTTTTTGTAGCCACTGCAGTGTGACCCAGCCCATACCTGCTTTGATTGGTATATTTGAGTCTGGTGGGGGCAGGGACGACACGAACTCAGGGGTGCAGCGTCTATCCATCCACGTGTACAGGTTGCTGCAACTGCCTGGATCAAACAACCATTGGATGAAGACTGATTTAGTCCATAGGTTCGTCGACGGTTAAATTAAAAGCAATGTGGTTCTACATTCAAATGTTTTCATTACTATATTATTTATCAGGCTCGCTGACTTGGTTGATGCATGTCATCGATCCCAATTGCGTAGATGGATGCTCATGATATCAATCACTTGATTGTCTGGTCCAGACTCGATTATTAACAGACCGCCGTCATATAGCTGGAATATTGCTGAGTGTGGCGTTAAACAACAAACAAACAAACAAACAAAACAAAACAAATATTTCTCAAACTAGATCCTTATAAGTGAAATCTCTTTACTCCCGACATGGTTAATCTTGACAAAAACATACCCTTGGTAATACGTTTTGGAACATCAATATAGCTAAGGATACATTACGATTTACTAATGATTCGTTGATCAGAAATTTCGTTTATCTTGACGATTTCAATGGGAACGCTACCGCCCGGATTAATCGTCTTTCACGGTACACGAGATTATTTCTTAAAGACATTTTAAAGATGTCATTCGAAATTTGCAAATATTTTATACTTTATCTTTCTTAAAGAATGAACTTGCCTTTAATTTTACAAAGGTTAAAAAAATAAAAAAAGGAAATTATAATTGTGTCAAAACATAAAAATGTAAATAAAGTCTTGATCATCCGATACGTTTCTCGATGGGAAGTTTCTAGGAGGCTGAAGGTACTTATATAAAAACAACATTAGGATGATTCGGGACTCTTTTCAACTGTGCATGCGAAGTGCGGATACCTATTTGGAAACACCAAATTCCTGCAAGCTTCCCACACTATTCTGATTTCAAGAACTGAGACAAGGGTGTTTCAAGACATTGGGCAGTGACAAACATTCGTTAGCAAACCAACATTAATTCTAGGGATTGTTACTTATTGCTGCCATTTATTTGGGATACCATTTGATTCTTACCTTAAAGTAGTGTGTTTAAATATAATATAGTTATTAAGTGTGGTCATTCACTGATAATTATGTGCGTACCGATTGCTGGGTTAACCGCTGCGATTCATTTTGGAAATCACCTTGTAACAAGTGAGTGAGTGAGTGAGTTGGGTTTATAGCCGCTTTTAACAGTATTCCAGTTATATCGCGGCGTGTCAGCTTAATGTGGGAGGAAAGCCCGAAGTGATGCAGGTCTTAGACGTTTACCACTTCGGTGAAACCCACGAGCACGGGTATGGTGCTGACAAACCTAGAAACATAATCGGGGCAAACCGGGATTCGAACCCACAATCATAGGTTTCTGGCGTGGCCAAGGGACGCAACTCTGCACAGCAAGTCGCGGCGCCTTAGACGACTGGTATGATCGCAGAAGAATATCAGCGAATTGTCAATGAACAACATTCATATTCGTTAATAAATTGTGATGTAAGTGTGCCGAAAGGAAAAGGCATGGTTCCTTTATTAATCAGTGTCTATTTCATGTCAGGATTGACTGTGAATTTTTTCGGTTCAAGCTTTTGTAAGAATCCGCACATATTAATTTGCTAAGAGAAAAAGCAATGGTTGTTTTCAAGATGTGGCCGAAAAAAATATCTTTTTTAACACAAAAATCCAAGAACTATCAAGACAAGCCCAGAGATACTTCACCTGCAACCAGATGCCCTGTGTCCGGGTGGATGTTACATCCGCGTCCCCCGGCCCACATGATCAGTCCGGTTCCCTGACCCGTCACGGCGATCCCCGCAACCCTCTTCTGCTGGGTAGTGGTCATCTGCTGCAGACACTCCTCCAGGGTGCTGAGAATGGTTCCCGGGGATTGTTCAGACCCGAGAGAACCTATATCACTCTCTACCTGCGACCTGGAGGGGCGGGACACTGCAAACACCTGTTCCTCTGTCTGGATGTCTATCAAACTCAGCTTGATACATGATGTTCCCAGGTCGATTCCCAGAGCTAGGCGTCTTTCTGGAGACATTGCAGAAAACGGAAAACCCTTGCGCTTGTGATTAATCCGGTATGATAAATGGTCTCCAAAAATGTCTGCCTTTCCGATGCAGTTTTGACACTCAGTTGTTGTTTTCTTGATCCTCTACAACACGTGCTCCTATAGTCAGTATATAATTCGTGTAAATAAACATATATTGAACAGCAGCAATGATGAATAATGAAGTCTCTGAACCACCAGATATTGCACTCGTGTACACAGTGGTCGTGTAGCCGCAAGCTCAGTCCTTTAAGCCAGTCTAGATTATACTATATCATCTCATCACAAGATCTCTTCAGATGCAGTCGTGTTCAAGATGACATGTAACTGACCACCTCACTGTGAACATCAACCTTTGAAATGTGTCTGCAGTTTTTGTATCCAGAACGCTGTCTTGCAATATTAGAAGTCCATAACGCACATCTGTTGTCGCTCGCTGCTGGAAAATTGTGGTGTCAACACTGTTTAAAACTTGCATGCCAGTCATGTAGTATTTGTGTCATACCTTTCAGTATGAATATTACGAAAGGATTATAATCGTGTGTACATGTGTGCTCCAGTCGGGATGTCAGTCGACAGAACCAGTCTGTGTCGCTGTCTGTGTGAGTGAGTAAGTGAGTTGGGATTAACGCCGCTTTTAACAGTATTCCAGTTATATCGCGGCGTGTCAGCTTAATGTGGGAGGAAAGGCCGAGGTGATGCAGGTCTCAGACGTTTACCACTTCGGTGAAATCCACGAGCACGGGTATAGTGCTGACAAACCTAGAAACATAATTGGGGCGAACCGGGATTCGAACCCACAATCATAGGTTTCTGACGTGTCGCTGTCTGTGGTAGTGTTTTAATCAGAGTGACGAATAACTCTCCACAAGACTGTTACAAGTCGGACGACTTCAACTTTCCCTTTATGTCGAGCTATTTTCCATCAGCTGTGCCTTTGGTGTCTACATTTAACAACTTTTGAGAAACAATCGAACATGCTCTTTCTACGAAGATTTCACAGAACGTCATATAACTCTTGCTCAAAAGTGTTTTGTTCAAGGTTACAACATTCAAGGCCTCAGTAACACTTCATGGAATACATTTCCAAATTTGACACATCAGTGACAAAAAAGTATGTCCAAAGAAGTTCCATATTTTGACTAGTACCATTTTTTTTTCAGGTGAACAATTGACTTGCCTTTGCATGGGTTTATGACGGATGCCTGCGGCGGGACAGGATAAGCTCACCTTTTCGCGAACGCCTGGTATCAACACTGTGATTCAGGGGCGGTCGGGTAGCCTCCGGTTACAGCGTTCACTCGTCACACCGAAGACCCAGGTTCGAATCCCGACATTAGTACAATGTGTGAAACCCATTTCTGGTGTCCCATGATATTGCTAAAAGTGGCGTAAAACGTCACTCACACACTCGCAGATAGTTATTCATAAACACATGCATACGATACATTTGGAATGATAACATCGACTCTGCTTTCAGCAGATATTTCACATGAATATGGAAATGGTGGTTGTGTATTTTTATTCATTGACGTGCATACCAGAAACCACATGACAAGTAGGTAGCAGAAACAAGTGTTCGGAAAATGGTTGAAAGCATATGCGAACGAGTGATGGTGTTATTTAAGTCAGACCATATTCATTCGACAAGCATGGGAGTTTGTTTGTTGTTCAACGCCACACTCAGCAATATTCCAACTATATGACGGCAGTGTGTAAATAATTGAGTCTGGTCCAGACAATCCAGTGACTGACATCATGAGCATGGATCCACGCAATTGGAATACGATGACATGCATCAAACATGTCAGCGAGCCTTACCTCCCTAACCCGTTAGTCGCCTTTTACAAGCAGTCACTTTTTTGGCAAGCATGACAAAAGAGTTAGGGATCATGAATATTTTACGGGATATGTTTTGTAGCACACAATTTCATACAAATATCCCCCAAATCTTCATGATCCCTATTTGTTAGTTCAGAATATATCGCAGCATGCAACTTCAGCAAAAACCCAACAAGGCCAATCAAACAAGTGTAAACATAATACAAAGCTGTAGCCATTACAATACATCCCTTCAGCTAATAACAAGACAATGTGTTGGTGTTGGATCGTGTTTCATAACACTGTCACAATGCGAGTGCTCATTTATCAGTACTGAGCGAGCCTCACTTAGGAAATGTGTAATAGTGAAATCTGTTGTTAAGGACGTTAAATGATGTCATGGAGGTACATCCACACAAAAAAAAACCGTGAGTCAATTAAGCAAATTGTGTCGCTGTGACAGGTCGGGGAAATAACCTGGGGTCTGTGATCTTTAGAAAATTGGGGAACGAACAATGATCAAGTACTTGCAGAAAAAGGGGTTCGCGTCTGGAAGGCTTGTGACGTCAACAACACCAGAGATGATCCACAGATGAGTTCGTTCGTTCGTTCGTTTGTTGTTTAACGCAGCACTCAGCAATATTCCAGCTATATGACGGCGGTCTGGAAATAATCGAGTCTGGACCAGACAAACCAGTGATTCATGTCATGAGCATCGATCCACGAAATTGGGATGGATGACATGCATCAACCAAGTCAGCGAGCCTGACCACCCGATCCCGTTAATCACCTTCGCCTCTTACGACAAGCATGGTCGCCTTTTATGGCAAGCATTGGTTGCTGAAGACCTAATCAACCCCGGATCTTCACGGGTCGCTAATGACTGAGCGTCATACTGCTGGTTCAGTAGGCATTTCTCTGGATTAGATTCCATTATCTGATACTTTGGGGTCTAAAGCTTCTGACATTTGATAAAAAAAAACCCGCACCAGGCACACGTCTCGTGACAATCTAGCTCTGTTTGAAACTGATCGAAAATGTTTCTTGTTGTGATTTGTGAAACGATTCCAAAGACAGGAAGCATTTGACATCACCACACCAAAGAAGGCTAAGACTGTCCCATCAGCTGGAAAGGTTGTGGCATACTTGTTCTGGGATACCAAGGGCGTCATCATAGTGGACTATCTTCCAAATGACCACGCAGAAATGGAGCTCATTATGCTGCATGTTTAAAGAAATTAAGACCAATATGTGTGGAAGCTGAGAAAACATGTGGTCTTCTACCCGGACAAGGCTTCGGTTAACAAATCAATCATTGCTGTGGGTAGTCCATGTGTGTGGCTTTGAACTCCTTCAGCACCCACTTTACCCTCCTGATCCAGTTTTGTCAGATTAACATTTGTTCCTAAACATGAGTAAGGATCCAGATGGTAACCATTTCGACTCGAACGGTCACCTAGTAATGAGTGAGAGTTTGGTTTTATACCGCTTTTAGCAATATTCCAGCAATATCACAACGGGGGACACCAAAAATGGGCTTCACACATTGTACCCATGTTGGGATTCGAACCCGGGTCTTCGGCGTGACGAGCGAACGCTTTAACCACCAGGCTACCCGACCGCCCCTGGTCACCTAGTAGCAGCTGTGGAAAACGTTTACACAGCCAAGACTTCTACAAAACTGGGATAAGATATATCATGTTATCGTCTTTAGGTCAAGTCTTCCTTTCCACTGAAGATCAGAAAGATTACCTGTTCAATAATATGATGTACAACTTGGGGAATGAAATAAGGATATCTGAAATAAATTTGTTGTAAACAATTTCCACCTGATGTGTGAAATAAATTCTTAAATTATTGTTAGTATATTGTTAAAAAAATATGAATTTAATTGGTTTGTGTGGAATAAATGAATGGCAAATGGTAATATATTGTTTGTTTTCCTTTTTCGCTATAAAAATCTAAAAAAGGTCTGTTTTTCTGCAAGAAAATCCACATTTGTTCACCTAATTTGGTTCTGTTTTATCAAGTACAAATTGGTACTATTCTGACTCGGTTCAGATCTCAGCACAACCCGAAGTAACACCAGGACTGGAGTCACACAAGGATTATTATTTGTCAGGATGGAGTCACACCAGGACTGGTGTCTGTCTGGGTGGAGTCACACCAGGACTGGTGTCTGTCTGGGTAGAGTCACACCAGGACTAATGTCTGTCTGGCTGGAGTCACACCAGGACTGTTGTCTGTCTGGGTGGAGTCACATCAGGACTAATGTCTGTCTGGGTAGAGTCACATCAGGACTAATGTCTGTCTGGGTGGAGTCACACCAGGACTGTTGTCTGTCTGGGTGGAGTCACATCAGGACTGGTGTCTGTCTTGGTGGGGTCACACAAGTTCTGGTGTCTGTCTGGGTGGAGTTACACAAGATCTGTTGTCTGTCTGGGTGGGGTCTCACCAGAACTGGTGTCTGTCTGGGTGGGGTCACACCAGGACTGGTGTCTGTCTTGGTGGGGTCACACAAGGACTGGTGTCTGTCTGGTTGGAGTCACACCAGAACTGGTGTCTGTCTGGGTGGGGTCACACCAGGACTGGTGTCTGTCTGGGTGGAGTCACACCAGGACTGGTGTCTGTCTGCGTGGAGTAACACAAGGACTGGTGTCTGTCTGGGTGGAGTAACACAAGGACAGGTGTCTGTCTGGGTGGGGTCTCACCAGAACTGGTGTCTGTCTGGGTGGGGTCACACCAGAACTGGTGTCTGTCTGGGTGGAGTCACACAAGGACTGGTGTCTGTCTGGTTGGAGTCACACCAGGACTGGTGTCTGTCTGGGTGGAGTCACACAAGGACTGGTGTCTGTCTGCGTGGAGTCACACCAGGACTGGTGTCTGTCTGGTTGGAGTCACACCAGGACTGGTGTCTGTCTGGTTGGAGTCACACCAGGACTGGTGTCTGTCTGGGTGGAGTAACACAAGGACAGGTGTCTGTCTGCGTGGAGTCACACAAGGACTGGTGTCTGTCTGGGTGGAGTCACACAAGGACTGTTGTCTGTCTGGGTGGAGTCACACAAGGACTGGTGTCTGTCTGCGTGGAGTCACACAAGGACTGTTGTCTGTCTGGGTGGAGTAACACAAGGACAGGTGTCTGTCTGGGTGGGGTCTCACAAGGACTGTTGTCTGTCTGGGTGGAGTAACACAAGGACAGGTGTCTGTCTGGGTGGGGTCTCACAAGGACTGTTGTCTGTCTGGGTGGAGTCACACCAGGACTGGTGTCTGTCTGGTTGGAGTCACACCAGGACTGGTGTCTGTCTGGTTGGAGTCACACCAGGACTGGTGTCTGTCTGGGTTGAGTCACACCAGGACTGGTGTCTGTCTGGGTGGAGTCACACCAAGACTGGTGTCTGTCTGGTTGGAGTCACACCAGGACTGGTGTCTGTCTGGGTTGAGTCACACCAGGACTGGTGTCTGTCTGGGTGGAGTCACACAAGGACTGGTGTCTGTCTGGTTGGAGTCACACCAAGACTGGTGTCTGTCTGGTTGGAGTCACACCAGGACTGGTGTCTGTCTTGGTGGGGTCACACCAGGACTGGTGTCTGTCTGGGTGGAATCACACCAGGACTGGTGTCAGATCCTTAAACATACTTAATGTTACTCCAGAGCTGTGCTACATGGAGCCTGGTATCTTCATATGATAAGCTTCAAACAAAATACAGTAAACTATGGTTATGACAAACTCTAAGGGGCCACTAAGTTTAGTTCGTAATAACCGTAGTCCTATATAAGCATATATACAACAAATAAGTTCATTATATCGGTCAGTTCAATATATGCGTGTTCGTTTTAAACATAGTTTACTGTAGATTTATATTCTTTATTAATGTTACAAAAAATCAAAGTTTAACAATCTTGGCAGCTCCATTGGCAGAATCACCTGACTGTCCATACACAATGGGAATGTCCTTATACACCAGCTCCAGTCTAGATCGAACAATAGGGTTTTTAGTAATAACTGATCCACTAGCAAGAATTCTTTTCACATGGCCTGATTGTGTTAAAACCTGAGACGACATGAGTGTATGTAGATTGTCTATGATAGATTCACACAGGCCTCTGAACACCTCACCGAGAGATGTGTTACTGCTGGTAATTCCGGCAATGCTAGCTTTCAGGGAAGGTTGGTGGCGCTCTCCATACAGGGTTGGTGTGATGCACAAACTGCAGCTTTCTGATGTCATAGCAGCGTCAGAGAGCTTAGCCCAAATATCAGTTTCAGACATAGCAAACCCTGTAAGAAGAACATGTCAGTGGTGATATATTGTCATGGTGGGCATGTAGTCACAAATAACATACCTAAAAATGTATGTATTTTCTTCTATATTACGGTGGTCTGTAAATAATCGAGTCTGGACCAGACAATCTAGTGATCAATATCATGAGCATCGATCCACGCAAATGTTTTGTTTGTTTGTTGTTTAACACAGCACCCAGCAATATTCCAGCTATATGACGGCGGTCTGTAAATAATTGAGTCCGGACCAGACAATCCACTGATTGACATCATGAGCATCGATCCAAGCCATTGAGGTACGTTGACATGCATCAACCAAGTCAGCAATACTGACCACCCGACTCCATTAGTCGCCTCTTACGACAAGCATAGTCGTCTTTATATTCTTCTGTGGTCAATGTTGCTTTCCTATTGCAATCCATCTTCCCGAGGCAAGGGAACTGACTATAAAAGATTTGGCTGGAGTAATGAGTCTATGCATAGTCCAATCAAAATTGCCTAACAAACTAGACATCCGGTTGGTTAACAGAATGGATTTCTATGTGCAGATTTCCTTGACTGCAGGATTTGCAAAGCATGTGTACTGTCAACTTGGTGTCAACAGATATTTTGCAAATCTTTTTATGTTTTTAATCAAGGTACTCAAGTCATTTGATGGACTTCGCTGGGTAATACCCGTTTTATTACAATATAGCTCTTGATTATTGATCAGATCATCATGACTGGGCATCTTGTTACGGGATATGAGAAGAAGGGACATCGAGGGGACATAACTCGTAATAGCCGCTGGTGGCGCTCCGAACGAACTAGGGTGGAAACTGGACTTTAATAGTCAGTTAACACCCTTGCCCGGAAAGATGATTGCAATTATACATGTTAACTTTGGCATTGACAACTTTGATTTATTGCAGCAAAATATGTCAATTTAGTTTTAATAACACAAAAACACATATTCTCAGGCAATGGCTATTTAGAAGGTGAGGTGATAGAGATTACTGAAAATCTGGAAAGTTTTGTGCCATGATATTACTGCGAGTGGCTAATGATAGCCTTTACTGCATCTAGAAAGTTTTGCAACACCCAGTTAAGATTGCTTAATATGAAAGCTACTTTTGCAGGTGTTATATTTGATAAGTAGGAAGCGACATGATGGAAGGGTAAGTCAGTGTCAGTCAGTGATTTGTAAACAATAGATGCATGTGTTGTTGTTGTTGTTGACAAGGGAGGTTGGAGTATGACTTAAACAGACCTACCAAACTCCCCGAACCATCCTTGCAGCATCGACACAAAGTGTTGTAGTACGTTGCCACCATTCAGGCCAGTACTCAGGGCCAGGTACTCATCACCGAAGTAAGGGAAATAACACAATGTGGCAGACTTGTCCTCCAGAGAGCTAGACTTCACGGAGTTGTCTCCCTTGACAACATAGCCCATTTGAATGGATGTGCTCAGGTTCAGGACTGAACAGATTGTAACAGTGCATCAGAAATTTTCTTCAATTGATTTTGAAAGTTTTACAATAAATTTTAATATTCATATACTTATCCTGTCTCACACTCTGCATTTCGCCTTCTTCTTTCGATCATGGTGTGGTAACGGCCAAGAATGAAGTTTCCAGCTTCAAAACATTTTGCCTGAACACATCACCATGGTCACCACCTAACCAAATGGGTCGTGCACTGTAATCCCATGCATCGCGACCCTACATGACCTGGTAGCCTGACAAAACCTACCACATCATTCTCTTTCTTAGAGCAGAAAGGCTGGTGATACTGTAAGGCGGGGGATGGTCGGGTGGGCATGTAGCGTGTGAGATAGGATAAGAATATAACTATACAATTTAGTGAAAGTTTTCAAACATTTAAACTTATCCTATCTCACAGTATGCATTTCATTGCAAAACAAAGATCTGAGGACATCCCATTACGGGTCACATCAGAACGACCTTTCATCCAACCAATCAGAGCATCGCTTACCAGATCATGAAAATGACAGTCGGAATGTATTTTTTAATCATGCAACTGCGAAATATTTAACACTTGGTATTCCGAACGACAGTTATGGGTTTTATGATTATATCCATACAATCTAGGCAATGTATAAGCCATTCCAGAATGTTCTTCTTATAACTTATATGCCAAAATATGTTTCTACGCGTAGTTGCCAGTTTGAAACTAGTGTCATAAAGCTCGAGAAAGCTGCCTTCTGATTGGCTAATGTCGATTTCTTGTCAGTCATTTCATTGGTCAGTCAATATTCTCGAAAGGTCGTACTGGCATGACCCGTAATGGGATGTCCTCAGATCTTTGTTTCGTGGCAGCGAGAACTTAGATCTGATTTTAATGAGATTGCCGACGACTTGGGCTTGACAGTGTCCTTTGTTGTTGGAGTTTACAGTGCGTGACCCATTTGTTTGAGTGGTAGCCATGGTGATGCTGGATGTGTTTGGGTGAATTGTATTTTCGAGGCTAGAAAATCTGTTCAAGCACAATTCCACATAGGATTGAAGAAGATAGAAGAATTGCATAGCGTGAGATAAGTTGAAAATTTATCATTGCAAGTCAGATAACAAAATTATAACATTAAAAAGGCCCCAAACCAGGAAAATACTATGTTTTTATCACCTATCTATCCAAATAAAACTCTGAGATAATATTTTTAAAAAATCCTGTACAATGCATTTTATGTATTTCTTTGTTTTTTACCTACCGATCACATTTTTGACTGTCAAAATCCATAAAAAAGAGAAAAGTAAGTGTGGTCTCGAGTAATCTGCAAGCAACCTGTAGCTGTAACATGGTACTGTCATCAAAACACTTCATACCCTTCAAGGAGGGTCACTGGTGGCCCAGTCGTCTAAGCTGGGTTGCCTCCCTTGGGCATGCCAGCAGCCTATGACTGTCGGTTCGAATCCCGGTTCGCCCCAATTATGTTTCTAGATTTGACAGCACCATACCGTGCTTGTAGGTTCCACCGAAGTGGTAAATGTCTAAGACCTGCATCACTTTGGGCTTTCCTTCCACATTAAGATGACACACCAGGATTTAACTGGAATACTGTTAAAAGCGGAGTTAAACCCAACACACTTACTCACACACAAGGAAGTGATGAAGGAGTAAGTATACATCGAAATGCCTCGTTACTCATAATAAAGAAGTTGACAACCATAATTTCTTTTCCTTATGAGTATCACTTCTAAATGCCATCCAAATACTTGAATTTATACACGATGGTTGTTATGTCAGAAAAAGAATATTTATGTTTCTGGTTCCCAGACCAACCCATCACATGTGATTTTCATCTTCCCGAGGTGAGGTGTTAACTGTCTTTAAAAGTCCAGTTTCCACCCTTGCCCAACTAGGCTGGAATTCAAGAGTTATATTTTGGCCAGACTAACGAGTCTATGCCTCGTTCAATCAAAATCGTGTAACAAAATCGACATGCCGTTTGTAAACTGCCTTGTACCGTTAACTCGGTATCGACAGATATTTTCTGAATCATCAATGTCTTTGTCCATGTTCCATGTCTTTGATCAAGGTGCGCAAGTAATTTGAAGCACTTCACACGGTAAGTCTCATTTTATTACAATATAGACCTTCATTATCGATCAGATTGTTTTCATTGGGCCCTGCCATTTTGTTTGAAGCCAAATCAAGTAGTATAAAATGTGGAATCTGATTGGTCAACAGGAGTGACAACGAAGGAATATAACTTGTAAATAGTCACTGGTGGAGCTACGACCGCGCCACGAAATTCCAGTGTAGTTCGGCAAGGGAGAAAACTGGACTTTCATAGTCAGTTAATTCCTTTGCCTCAGGAAGATGGTGATTTCTTACAAACTGGGATGTATTGATGAAGAATAACTCATCACAGCAAGACCACATTTTACAGATGTTGTTGCAGAGGATGTGTTTGACCAATTTTCTTGTTTTGAAAATGGGAACCAAAAACAAAATGTGTAGTGGCCTTTTCTATCAGAGCTTTAGAACCAAGAATATATTTTACCAGTATCAAGGAATCTTTTCTTTCAAACATTTTCTTAAAATAAGTAGATAATAATTATCATTGAATAATATATTTTCTTATATTTAGGACACATTATCCCCCAAAACAATTATGATGTAACTTAGTTTTTTTCTAAAAATAAGGAACATGATTTTGACAGTGATGCGACCATAACATCTTTTTCACATCCCTAACTAGTTGTCAAGACAGCTGCACAAAACATTAATAAAAATCATAATTATAAGTTTTTACCTCTCATGTTTCCTGAGACAAATATTTACTTGTTTGGAATTACCTGCGTCGTGAGGGTCCTGTAGGATAGACAGAAAGGCACACTGGATGTCCCCCAGCGCGGCATACACTGGGATGTGAGGCTGGATGTCCAGCCAGGGACGCTGTAGCTGACCGGCTACATTCCCAGCAGGCACGACCTCCTCCAAGAGGTCAGTCGGGAAGCCATTCTCAGACAGTCTGCGAAATTAAGCTGTAATGACTTTCAGATGTAGACACATATTGTAACAGTGTAAATATGCAATCTTATTAAAATCAGATCTTAGTTCTCGCTACCGCTAAACAAAGATCTGAGGACATCCCATTACGGGTCATGTCTGAACAACCTTTCAATCGACCAATCAGAGCGTCGCTTACCAGATCATGAAAGTGGCAGTCGGAAGGTGATTTCTAATCATGCAACCTTGAAAACTTTAACACAGGGTATTCTGAACGATAGTTACGGAGTTAACGACTGAATCCATACAATCTAGACCATCTATTAGCCATTCCAGAATGTTCTTTTGTTAGGGTTTCAAATTTTTAATCGAGAATTTGCCAAATATGTTTCGATGCATTGTCTCCTATTTGAAATTAGTGCCGTAAAGCACGAGAAAGCTACCTTCTGATTGGCTAATGTCGACTTCTTTTCAGTCATTTCATTGGTCGGTCAAAGTCCGCGCAAGGTTGGTCTGACATGACCCGTAATAGGGTGTTCTCAGATCTTTGTTTAGCGGAAGTGAGAACTAAGATCTGATTTTAATGAGATTGTATAAATATGCATTGTCCATTTTCCTTCATACATCTGTAAAACAGAAGACAACTATTTAATATGAGACAGAGTTTAACACAAGGCAGAATTGCCCGTCCAGTATGCACAAATGGATAATAGGGATGCAGAAATAAAATATATTGCATCCCAACAGAGTAATATTCATTGTACAGAAGTACAGCCCTCTAAGTTTGCATCATAGTTAGGGAGCCAAGCGGCTCCCAACATGAATATTAAAGGAGCCAAACTTAAGTGTTTAGGAACCTACTATTTTTTCCAAGGAACCAGACTGAGAATCTGAGATAGGACATGTTTGCACAGGTTTCATTTGGGATAGGACACATGTTTGCACAGGTTTTGTTTCAGATAGGACACATGTTTGCACAGGTTTCACTCGAGGTAGGACACATGTTTGCACAGGTTTCATTTGAGGTAGGACATATGTTTGCACAGGTTTCATTTGAGGTAGGACACATGTTTGTAGGGTCTTCATTGTGTCAAGCCTAAAGGTGGGTTTTCAATTGGAACAGACAGGTACATTAGTAATATTGTAAATATTTCCTTTTGGTACACTATCACATGTTCATGATAGTGCAGCCGGGTACAACATACTCAAGCTATTAATGAAACCCATGTAATTGTATTAACCTAAATAAATAGACATCATGATATGAAACATTATTAATTAATTATGTACTGGACGTTGGTCCTGCAAACACGACTTGCTAAACAAGATTTGCAACTAAAATCTATTTGTATCTTAAACAGACAGACACCAGTTATTTTTACTCTTAGGTAGCCAAGTGGCGAGAGGTAGATAAATTAAGTTCGCCAGTCACAGATTTAGGTCGCATTGGTCACCGAAATAGTTGCTACTTAGAGGGCTGAAGCAATTATCAAATCTTTCAGTACAGTACACCACATACTTTACCTACTGTACCAGACCCAACTAGTTCCTGTAATTTCTTAGGGACCCTTGAAATCAATTATTGAAGGTGCCCTGGATAGAGGCAACATATTATCATTAAAAGACAGTCTGTGCCAAAATGTTCGTGCCCACAAGCTCAAATATTCATCTTGTCATCATTTTCTGAATTTCATTATTTGTCTCAGTCTATGGACAAGTTTTGTGTGATCTTATCATACAAGAAGATATTTTACTGGACTTTGTTTTCGGACTAGTGGCTAAAGTTGTGGACTAAACAGGTATAAAAATGGTGCCAATAGTTTTTTTGGTGCTTAATAAGCAAAAACTTATATACTGACATGCCTGTGTTCCAAGACAACAGCTGTGTGTTGAAATAGCCCAAACTGGCTGCCACTTGGACCGAAGTCACCGGTTTCTTCAAGCCACAGAGTCTCGCTACAACATAGTCCATCACTGAACCACTGCAGTCGTACCCCATGTCAGTGACGACCTCCCCCTTGTGGCGAGTCAGCCAGAACAGCGTGGCACAGCCATGCCCTGTGGCCAGCTGGAGGTGGGAGGAGGGGGCTGGGAGGGTGGCCAGGAACTCGGGGGTGCAGCGCTGGTCCATCCATGTGTACAGGGGACTGGTGACGACCTGACATATAAATAGACTTTACACATGGTCAGGTGTAAGCTGTCTTCATGTTCATAAACCCTGAAACATAACATTAAAGAGGTGAGAGAGTCTCGAGGAGTTCGGCCACATAACATCAAATAGGTGAGGGAGTCTCCAGAAGTTCGGCCACATAACATTAGATAAGTGAGGGAGTCTCCAGGAGTTCGGCCACATAACCTTAAAGAGGTGAGGGAGTCTCCAGGAGTTCGGCCACATAACCTTAAAGAGGTGAGGGAGTCTCCAGGAGTTCGGCCACATAACCTTAAAGAGGTGAGGGAGTCTCCAGGAGTTCGGCCACATAACATTAAAGAGGTGAGGGAGTCTCCAGGAGTTCGGCCACATAACATCAAATAGGTGAGGGAGTCTCCAGGAGTTCGGCCACATAACATTTAAGAGGTGAAGGAGTCTCCAGGAGTTCGGCCACATAACATTATAGAAGTGAGGGAGTCTCCAGGAGTTCGGCCACATAACATCAAATAGGTGAGGGAGTCTCCAGGAGTTCGGCCACATAACATTAAAGAGGTGAGGGAGTCTCGAGGAGTTCGGACACATAACATTAAATAGGTGAGGGAGTCTCCAGGAGTTCGGACACATAACATTAAATAGGTGAGGGAGTCTCCAGGAGCTCGGCCACATTACATTAAATAAGTGAGGGAGTCTCCAGGAGTTCGGACACATAACATTAAATAGGTGAGGGAGTCTCCAGGAGTTCGGCCACATAACATTAAATAGGTGAGGGAGTCTCCAGGAGCTCGGCCACATAACATTAAATAAGTGAGGGAGTCTCCAGGAGTTTTTTATTGGGTCTTAGTTTGATCAGTACTTAAGTTACATCGTGACTTGTCAGCTTCAGAGACATATGACATAGGTCTGCGACTCTAGTGAAGCCTGTGAGCATCGATTATATGGAGCTGAGAGGCCTCGACTCATGACTGGGGAGACAGCCTCCGTGATCTAGTGGTACAGCGTCCGCCCGGAGAGCGGAAGGTCAGTGGTTCGATCCCCAGCTGCGTCATACCAAAAGACGTTAAAAAATGGTGCTAGTATTAACCTTGCCTAGCGTTCGGCATTAAGGGGCTAAGACAAGTACTGGTGTACTGTGTCTGAGTGGGGTATACATGTTAAACTGAGGCATGGTAAAATCTGCATCAGTCCTGACTGATTCAAGCACACACACATGTATGCATGCACATTGCTACATAAGAGCAATAAGCTTGGACGCGACGCTAAACCCCATTTGACCTCACCTCACCTCATGAATGGGGTTTAAATCCCATAATCACTAATCCTGGCATAGCTGCTTTACACCCTCAGGGTTGAATCACAAAGTCTGAATATTTGATATCACATGGTTACATCACATTGACATTTCTTATATAAATCCACAGAGGATCTGATATTTTTTGTTTCTTTTGTTTGTTGTTTAACGCCGTACTCAGCAATAATCCAGCTATATGCCGGCGTTCTGTAAATGATCAAGTCTGGACCAGACAGTCCAGTGATTGACATCATGAGCATCGATCCATGCAATTCGGATACAATGACATGCATCAACCAAGTCAGCAAGCCTGACCAACCGATCCCATTAGCTGCCTCTAACGACGAGCATAGTCGCCTTTCGCGGCAAACATGTGTTGCTGAAGACCTATTCTTCCCCAGATCTTCCAGGTCCAGAGGATATGAACTAAAACAGAGTTAATGAATGTTGTTTCAGATCCCAGTGGACACTATTCCATCATATCATACAATCCCAGCCACTTGGTGCAGAATACAGGATACTCATCTTCAGCACTTACAACAAGCGTGGATTGGCTCAAACCTATCAGAGCTCCAGATTACCTTTTGAGCAATTGAGGTTTTACTTGAAGGTTTCTATTTCAATTGGGCTATTACATTTTTCATTGGGTAATCAATATGTTTTCACTTATCTATTCATCACCCTATTGGGTTTTTCCCAAAATGAGTAAACATTTTGAGATTTCAAAAAAATAACAATAATGTATCAGACGTACATAAGGGTTTTAACTATAGGCTTGACTAGGAAAGCAAATTAGCTCGTAATTGTGTTTCTGAAATTAGCTCCATTGTACGCATGCTGAAAAAGCTTCATTGGGTATTTATGCATGCTGTTATTACACATTTGACTTTTTCATTTAATGCATGCGTTTCCGTACGCAAGTTAATTGAAAGTAATCAGGGTTTGAATATTTTGGGGGGTTATTTTACGCATATACGCAGCTTATCTGTAGCTCTGGCTATTCTGGGTAAGCTTCATGAAAAGCGAGTGCTGAATCACCTTTGTGTCCAGATCAGTTGCTTCCGCAACCTCCTTGCCCTTCCACAACATGATCCCGTGCATCTGCCCCGTCACTCCGATTCCTTCAACCTGCTTCTGGGCACAAGGTGGGATCTTCCTGATGCACTCACTCAATGCGTGCAATATTTTGTCAGGGTCCTGCTCGGATCCAAGATGGCCGACATCACTGACAGTGTCTGCTGCTGACTTCTGGGAAGCGGAACAGATGGTTTCTTGTGACACAATGTCCAGCACAGACACCTTGACTGATGTCGTCCCAATGTCAATACCCAGTGCATAGGCGTGGTTCTTGGACATAGCTTCACTTCACAGCTGAAAGAATATGAAATTATATAGCATGTGAGTTGACATGAGGTTATATCGTCGTGTTCAATATTACTGTACTTATATAGTGACATTCATGCACGTGTACGTGCGAATCTGCTTGTACTTGCCCGAACTTCTGCCAGGTCCATAGTGCTAGTCCACGGAGAAACCATGCCGCAGTTTTAACATTGATACCCAGTAGACACAGCACAATAGCTCCGAGCTGACGAGTACCATAATGCCGAACTACAGGAAGGGTAACAACAAGTACCATCTTCTAACCATGTTTGGGGCGGTCTGGTAGCCTAGTGGTTAAGGCGTTCGCTCGTCATGCCGACGATCCGGGTTCAATTCCCGACATGGGTACAATGGGTGAAGCCCATTTCTGGTATCCCCCGCTGGATATTGCTTGAATATTTCTAAAAGCGGCGTAAAACCAAACTCACTCATTCACTCTAACCATGTTTGGTATGACACGGTCGAGGATCAAACCACTAGATATGAATTTGATGTCAAATGTGCAAATTGATGAGAGTTGATCCTCTATGGCTGCCACATTACATGACTTCAACATGTTCAACTTGCTATGTCAAAGAATGAAAGACAGTTCACCCATGTATAGGCTTCACATGATTTTGGGGAGAAAATCAGTCAATTATAGCTAATGAGTCCGTCACCACAAAAACTGAGGAATAATAGTGAGTGGGCTTGACCCCACTTTGAACAGTATTCCATTTAATCACTGCATGTCAACATCATGTAGGAGGAAGACCCGAAGTAAAGCAGGTCTTAGACTTTTACCACTTTTACCCACAAGGACTGATATGGTGCCGACAAACCTTGAAATATAATCATGTGAACCGGGATTCAAACCCATGATCACAGGATTCTGGTGTGCCCAAGGGAAGCAACTCTGCACAGCGAATTGTTATACCTCAAGACGACTGGGCTGCCCGTGGATAATACATAATTATGAATAGAACACACACAACAGAGAAGATATATATTTGCTTCGACCCTAATTAGAAAAAGAATCTGACTGCATATCCCAGAATCTTGGATTAATGTGATCGCTGCAGAATTGTACTGGTAAAATATTACTTAGTTTGTTTATTTAACCGAAAATATAAAATGTTATTTAAGGGGCACTGATCTAAAGCAATTCCGCGGGACTGCTTGTTGCCTTTGTTATTGTTTTTTCCCGTGAGTACCCAGCTGATATAGCAGAAACCTAGATTAGTTCGCAACCTGTGCTGAGCAATTCGTAGGCGCGTTTGTCACTTTTATTGATAGTATAAGGGCGTATGGTCACATTGATCAACAAAATGGAAATTGGAAATAATAAGGAAATGTAGGTATCGTTGTGGGTAGCATCGGTAATGGTGACAAAGTTTTGATGAGTCACTTGCTTGGTAATTGTGCAATATTGTGTAATTGTAAATATTTCTCCTGAGCATTGCTTATTTTATTGTGTTTATATTTTTACAGTCAAAATGTGGAAAAAATTTCACTTAGGAAATTTATTAAACGCCTGAATATTCAGTTATTTTACAAATTGACTGAAAAATATGTCCATCTGTATTATTATGACAACGAATTCCAAACATTTTGATGTTTAATATCATCACCAAGAGACTGAAAATGTTACGATGAAAAGTACATTTCTATTTTGTTTGGCTTCTAATCCTACATAATAATCTACTGTGATGTTTTTAGGCCCTATTGATCGTCTTAATCAATTTTGGTCAATCTGTTAAAGAAATGGACAGATTTTTCAGTCAAAATGACTGAAATATTTACACATTTTATAAATTGCCTAAGAGAATCACATTTTACAAATTGACTGTAATATACAAAGGAAAAGACTTGTGAAAACAACGTCTATCACGCATGGAAGAACTTCCCAACCATGACGTAGAGGAACAAGAATGAATCTGTCCAATGCTACTGCAAATGAAGGAAAACAAAATGCGAATATCATAATTACAACCTACCAGATTTAGGTGTATAAGTTTAGGCAGCTTCCTTGTTCGAGGAATGTATCCGTGAATATCCACACAAAGGAACAATATCCCAAATGGCTGCAGCTGTACAAAGAAACGTATTTGATGTCACGTGTCTCTGTAACAATCAAATATTTTAAAATATATTTATCGTTTCGGGATATTATAACCTGTGTTCGTTTCTCAACTGATCACTTAGATTGTTTCAGGTGTTTCACATAGGTGTCAAGTCTCAAAGGTCGGCTGAGAAAGCCCACATGACAACTATTTTCATAACGTCCACGTGCATATTACATAACACACATTTCACCTCACTCTCTAACCTGGATTTAGATTGAATCATTACCCCAGACACAATAAATGCCAAATGGGAAGCTTTCTCATGTATTTGGAGTGGTGCTACAACTAATTATACCTGTAATAAATTCATTAACTGAGCATCAAGTGAATGACGACAAATACACAAGTGTAGGGTTATACCAGAAAACGTGGATGACAACAAGGGAGTAGTAATCATATTATCGACGCAATCCGAAAATGCTTTCACTGCATTGATACTTTTTTTAAAACTATAACAATCAGGGGTATTTCCAAATGACGACAACCGATGAGCTCCGCCTTTCTTTTTGTCTGTTTGTTTAGGCTGAAGAAATTAATTAACATGCGCCCTTTGTCGAAATCTTAGATCACGGTTAGGCCTAACCAATCAGTGTTCAAAAATGGGTAAAACAGATATTGCCTCCAAGTTTATTTTGCTGTCCTTGCAGACGGTAGCCCAGTCTCCTGTCACGCTCCGTTGCGTTGCGTATCATCCGGGTACTCACGGGAAAAAAAACAATAACAAAGGCAACAACCAGTCCGGGGAATTGCTTTAGATCAGTGCCCCTTTAAATGAAGTCAGTTAATTCATGTCAGTTTTGATTCAAAAGAACATTTTATTTTATTTTATAACCACATGGTTATCACGCAGTCACTGATTTCAAAAAACTATGAGGAAGGGGGATACGGACGGAAGTCTTTCCAAACATTTACCTTGTATAAAAGTATGGGTCTCACCTGTAACTTCCCCCAGTCAGGATTTTCTCATTAGAGTTATCTGCCCTTGATTTAAAAACCCAATCCTGCTTCCTGTCAAGTTTCGGAATCGGCATGTCAACAGCGATAGTTTATGGTAAATTTCACATCACGGAGTTTTCACAGCAGTGTAATTGACAAAGCGGTTGCACATATATTTTACAAATATTGTAGGATGATACTGATATAGCCACATCAGACTTGTAGGCCTACATCGATATTAATTATTTATTCATAAGCAATCGACGCATTTGACAAGATCACATCTTCAGATCTGATCTTACTATGTGACATCTGGGCTTTTGACACAGGCCCTAAACAGGATATGTATATTACTGAAACACCGGACCCATATATATAAATAGATATAAGGATCCGGTGTTTCAGTAATATTACTATCCAGCTTCAGGGGCCTTTTGAGGCCATGCTAAAATAAGGTCATTTTGACCTGCTCGTGGCTAAAAAACGCGAATGCCCTAATACTAGACTTGCACTAATCTCAGAGGCAATAATTATTAGTTTAGATCATATTTTCTAGATTATATAAATGATAAGAACAAGTTGTCCAAGTAAGAAACTGGCGTCCTTTACTTAATCCTGCAGTGTCTGCTTATGTTGCCTAGCTATTATATGGATAGAATTACTATACACCCATGAACTTATCATTCAGGACAGCCTTGGAGCAAGGCTACTCCAACACTTATAAAGGGATATGCACTAGGGCTGGGACGGGTAACTCGGGTACTCGGGTCGGGTAGGTCCTGAGTAGGACCCGGGGACCCACAGGACTACCCGGACCCGTGGTAAGTCACGTGATATATTGTTTGATGACAAAAACTCACTATAGCTCATTGGTTACACCACAAGTCGCTAATGTTCGCATTTCTTTCTGATGATGCACACATTCCTTTTGGCTGGTATATGTTTCAGTAAAGATAAAACTTCAGTCAACTTCAGTGTATTGATCGTTTAATACAAGAATCTAAATAGTTTTGGCCAGGGCTGCAATAAAACAATTCCCAATCAGACATTTTGTTCCCAACTCTTGAGACCTGCAGTGGGTACCCGGTAGGGCCGGGTAATAGGTGATCGGGTACCCGGGTAGTAAATTTGAACTCGTCCCAGCCCTAATATGCGCTGCATAGCCATCTGTGAAGTGCTGGTGTTCTAAGATTGTAATTTATCATCCAAAACTGGCTCCCACAGGAGATATCGCTTGGATGAGATCAAGCGATATCTACACTGTAGATATCGCTGCAATGAAATTACATCACAATGCTTTACAGACCATTGTGACGTCACTGGTTACCATGACGTCACAATCAAATGACATCACTAATGGCTCTGCTACTGAAGCTGTTTGCAGTACTTTTTACACTGAAGACACTGCTAATTACTGTCTACAAATTGAAAAAGTTGAAAGAATGATGTTGGATGATAAATAAAATCTCACCCTCGTGTCTTTTGATATCAAATATATCAACACTCGTTGATAAAAGTGGCAAAAATCCTCGGCAAGCCTCGGAATATTTCCACTTTTATCAACTCGTGTTGATATATTTGATATCAAAAGACACTCGGGTGAAATTCTCTATTTATCTTTATCTTTAACCTCAGGACCATGTATCTATTCATGCAAATAATAATAACAAACAGATGAGGCCATAGGCCATACACTTGTGATATTGCAGGGTATGAAACTCCTAAAAATTTCAGCCAGACCACAGGACTGGCTAGCTGAAATACTTGCCAGCCCTGACCAAAACCTGCCTGCCCACTATAATCATATGTTTCTCAGGATAAGCTAACGGGGTTTCTTTTTGGTTACATTTTATCATTCATCTTTACATGTGAATTAATGATTATCATCGGGATATATTTAGAATATTGTCACATATGAAATATAACCCGACCGTCGGGCAGGGGGATTTGAAAATCTGGCAGCCTGAGTTGAAATCAACCCGTCTCGGACGGTGGGGCAGGCAGGTATTTCGAACACTGGATATTGATAACATATGATAACAACAATTAGGCCTATGGGGTAACCAGAGCTGGTAACCTCCGTACCATGTGAAACAAGCGTCTCTGCGTTGTGCGGCCAGGCAGGTCACATATTTACAAGGTCCACTTTGAGTGTTATTGTGTGTGGTTATGTCTATTTAATTTTAAAAATCTAAACATGAAATGGTTGGACAATGTTAATACTCAAAGTTGAAGGCACAAGAAGTCCAGATGTGACTGTTTTGTTATTTGTAATACAAGTGATAGCTATTGTAGGTGAACAGGGCTCCAGATCATTTTTTGGGCCATTGTTTATTGTTTGTTTGCACTCCTGTTCATAATCTGGAATACTCTATGACGTTCAATGATCTTTTTTGGATTCCCCTTTCCTTTCCCTTTCCATAATTGAGATAAAAGAGATATGAACATACATTTAACTGTACCTCTAAACTAAAACATCGTCAGCTTTAAAACAATTGTGGAAAATCTACTTGATCTAGATATGTATAGTTTCTATTTTACGCTGAAAACTGTGAAGGCAATCCGGTTTGATGTCGTTTGTTAGTTTAATGCCGCACTCAGCAATATTCCAGCTATATGACGGTGGTCTGTAAACAAATGAGTCTGGATCAGACAATCCAGTGATTGATATCGTGAGCATCGATCTACGCAATTGGGATCGATGACATGCTTCAACCAAGTCAGCGAGCCTGACCACCCGACCCTGTGAGTCGCCTCCTACGACAAGCATAGTCGCTTTCTACGGGAGTATAGGTTGTTGAAGACCTATTCTACCCCGGATCTTGGGCCATTGTGTATTTAGTTACATGTGAACATTCAATTTGGGTATTGATCATGTTTATAGTTGTCTTTGGGTACTCAAAATGTTTATGCATTTCGACACCACTTGCCATTCCTTAGAGTTAGTTTTGAGGTAGGGTATGGGTTAGCTAATATTCCAACTTTATGACAGCGGTCTGTAATCGAGTCTGGACCAGACAATCCAGCGATTGATATCATGAGCATCGATATACAATGACGTGCATCAACCAAGTCAGCAAGCCTGATCACTTTGTCCCGTTAGTCACCTCTTACGACAAGCACGGGTTAGTAGCGATGTGGTGAGATGAGGTGAGGTGAAATTGGGTTTAAAGTCGCGTCCAAGATTATTGCACTTATATAGCGACGTGCATGTACGTGTGTGTGGCTGCTTGTACTAGTCCGGACTGATGCCGATTTACAGTGCTAGCTCACCGAGATACCATGCCGCAGTTTAACATGAATACCCCCCTCAGACACAGAAAACTGACTCCGAGCCAACCAGTCCTTGTTTTATCCCCTTAATGCCGAGCCCAAGACAGGGTAAGAACAAGTACCATCTTTTAACGTCTTTTGGTATGGTGCGGCCGGGGATCAAAACCCCAGACCTTCCGCTCTCTCCGGGCGGACGCTCTACCACTAGACCACTGAGGCTGTCTGGTAGTGATGTACCTGTAGGGGTTCTGGGGCAGAACAGGTTTCCATTAACCAGGCATGTTGTATGATCGACCAAACATGAGCATTGGGTGGTCACAATATGTGACCAAGGTTGACATTGATTAAATATTCAGGTTTTTATCGGGGGGCACAGGTGGCCCAGTCGTCTAAGGTGCCGTGATTCGCTGTTGCGTCCCTTGGGCACCCCAGAAACCTATGGTTATGGGTTCAAATCCCGGTTCGCCCCGATTACGTTTCTAGGTTTGTCAGCACCATACCTGTGCTTGTAGGTTTCACCGAAGTGGTAAACGTCTAAGACCTGCATCACTTTGGGCTTTCCTACCACATTAAGCTGACACGCCGTGATATGACTGGAATACTGTTAAAAGCGGGGTTGAACCCAACTCACTCATTCAGGTTTTTACCTTTCGTCTTCTTACAATGTTTAAGATTTGGACAGTCTCACTGGCTATTGGAAAATACAACATTTGGTGTCTTTCTTGTGTTGTTTGAACAGAACAGGTTGACAGTGCTCTCAATCATTTTCTGCGTTACTTCAACATCTTCCTGAGGCAAGGAAGTAAACTGACTGTATAGTCCAGTTTACACCCTTGCCAAAATTTCTACACATCCTGCAATGGACCGAAATCTGCACTGCAGTTTATGAACTGGATGTTGGTTTCGTTACAAGATTTTGATTGAATTATGCATAGACTTGTTAGTCCAGCCAAAATATAACTCCATAATTCAAGCCTAGTTTGGCAAGGGTGGAGTATGGACTTTTGTCATGTTTATAGTCGGTTAGCTCCCTTGCCTGGGGAAGATGTTTTTCTATGGCACTTGTGCTGTTGTATTGCATCTGTCAAGCCCTGACCCACTGCCTCCTATTGATTGTTTCAGGACTGGACAACAACTTGAAGACTGCCCGACCAGTTATGCCATGTGGCTTCTCCCGACGCAAACCTCTCTGTCTGCTGTGTGGGATCCTCTCCACAACAGTGGTCCTGTACATCATGATCAACATCATCAGAGGCAACAGAAACAGAGTGACAGTAGACGTGTTTCAGACCGGCTTCTTTGATTACAATGGCACACATGACTATGACTACATCTTTACAGCTCAGGAGACTTGCAGAAAGGGAAGAGGAAATCAATCAGTTTTCTTGACTGTGGTCGTCGAAACTGCACCTGTCAAGTTTGCAGAGAGGCAGGCAATACGCGAAACCTGGGGATCATGGGTAAAACTGTATCCAAATATCCGTTTGGTTTTCTTGTTGGGGCTCACGGACAATGCAACACAAGCCAAACTTGGTGAGGAGAATCTGAAGTTTAACGATATCGTCCAAGAAACTTTCATCGACTCATATCAAAATTTGTCGATCAAGTCAGTCGCTGTTTTACGCTGGGTGTCCACATACTGTCGAGAAGCCAAATACGTTTTGAAAAGTGATGATGATATGTTTATTCACATTCCTAATCTAATAAACCTCCTTATGAAAGAGAAGTATGAACGGACCATTCTGGGATGTCTCGTGAATGGTGCTGCACCTATACAGGATCCCAACTCGAAATGGTATACGCCAACGTCAGACTTTCCTATGAGCACATATCCAGATTATACAAGTGGCACTGCCTATGTGGTATCTGGTGATATTGTATACGAGTTGTATCACATGGCTTTGCACACCAAGATGTTTTGGTTAGAGGATATATATATTACGGGGATATGTGCAAAGCGAATAAAGGCAAGACTTGTTAATAGTGCTGGGTTCACTTTCTTCAAGCGGGAGGTAAACGGATGTGCTTATAAGTACGCTATATCAGGACACGACAACACAGTGGAGGACATCGTCACAATCTGGAGCGATTTGCAGCAGAACAAGACTTGCTAGACCCCATGTGTATCTGTCATCTCCTAGGGATTCTGGATTAGAATATAGGGCCCCAGCAACAATGCTGGAGAGAGGCGACCAAATGGATCGGCTGGTGTCACTCGATGACTTGGTTCATTGCATGTCATTCTATCATAACATTGTGAAATGCTTGATTCTGATTGGTTAAAAAGAGGTTTCCTTTTTGTTATGGAAAATCCTTTTAAATATATTAAGCCTTTTCACATGAAAAATATGTGCATGTATACATCGATAGCCTACATATCGATTCATAAATTATTAATATTTTTAATCAAGGTGCTCAAATGATTTGATGCAAGACCCTTTTTATCACAATATAGATCTTGATTAAAAATCAGATCTTCTTGACTGGATGCCGCTATTTTGTTTGAAGTAAATGGAAGAGATATGAGAGGTGGGATCTGATTGGTCTATAGGAGTGACATAGACATGATAGAAGGGACATAACTGGTAACAGCCACTGGTGGTACTACGATCAAGCCACGGAATTCCAGTGTAGTTCAGCAAGGGTGGAAACTGGACTATCGCAGTCAGTCAACTCCCTTGCACAGGAAGATGCTCCTACTCATACCCAGACAGCAAGGGTTGTTGTTGCTCATGCTATCAATCAATGGATTGTCTGATCAAGACTGGATTCATTACTGACCGCCGTCATATAGCTGGAATATTGCTGAATGTGGCTTTAAACAAACAAACAAACAAACAAACAACATGCTGAGAACATAGTTCTTGGTGTTTTACATTAGTAAATGGTGCCGGTGCTGTTTTTTGTGAACCTATTTACACAATAGTTTGTATATTACCTTGATCTAGTCCTGGAGATATGAGCTGTGAATCAAATAAATTTTGTATTTAACTTGTGTGTCAAAATGTAAATGATCGATATATTACCTGAAGCTATTGAAAGCTTATTATTTGTCTGTGATCTGTCCATCTATCCGTTTGTCAGATTTTCTAATCTGTTATCATTACTCACTGAATGCCCCCACCAAATACTTTTCTTCCAAACGCCAGCCTGCACGGCATGCGAGTGGTATTAAAAAAAACAACTTTTTTGTAAAACTTATTTTCTAAATGTTAATAAGGAATATTTTTGGTGATGTACAGTTTCTGGAATCCAAGATGAAAGACAGTTCTTTGCAACATTGTTCCAACATGGAAAGATCACCTCTGTGGTCTAGCGGTAGAGCGCCCACCCGGAGAGCGGAAGGTGTGGTGTTCGATCCCCGGCCACATTATACAAAAAAGCGTTAAACGATGATACTTGTTGTTACCCTGTCTGATGCTCGGCACTAAGGGTCTAAATTAAGGACTGGTTGGCTCGGAGTCAGTTTTCTGTGTCTGAGGGGGGTATTCATGTCAAACTGCGGCATGGTATCTCAGTGAGCTAGCACTGTAAATCGGCATCAGTCCGGACTGGTACAAGCAGCCACACATGTGCATGCACATCGCTATATACTGATATAAGTGCAATAATCTTGGACGCAACGTTAAATCCCATTTCACCTCACCCACCTCCAGGGGGTGGTCGGGTAGCCTAGTGGTTAAAGCGTTCGCTCGTCACGCCGAAGACCCGGGTTCGATTCCCGACATGGGTACAATGTGTGAAGCCCATTTCTGTTGTCCCCCGCCGTGATATTGCTGGAATATTGCTAAAAGCGGTGTATAACCATGCCCACTCACTCACTCAACCACCCACCCACCCACTCACACCCACCCACCCACTCCCACCCACCCACTCACTCACTCACCCACCCACCCACCCACTCACACCCACCCACCCACCCACCCACTCACTCACTCACTCACCCACTCACTCACTCACTCACTCACCCACCCACCCACCCACCCACTCACCCACCCACCCACTCACTCACTCACTCACTCACCCACCCACCCACTCACTCACTCACTCACTCACCCACCCACCCACCCACTCACTCACCCACCCACCCACCCACCCACTCACTCACTCACTCACTCACCCACCCACTCACTCACTCACTCACTCACCCACCCACCCACCCACTCACTCACTCACTCACTCACCCACCCACTCACCCACCCACCCACCTGGGAAATGACTGCCTTGATTGGACAGTTGCATTTCTGGCTTTAAGGTTTGTTTACCCCACCTGTTTTTGAAACCAATGGTTCTGGGAGATCCCCGGGTCACCATATTATTTGTCTCTTCTTTGTTGACCTTTCTAATTAACACGTCAAGTCAGTCATATCAAGGGTCAATTTTTTTATTTTCATTGTTAGATTGAATTTGTGACATCATATTTGATGAGTATGTTTAACTGTATAAACATGCACCTGTGCAACCTTTTATTGAAAAGTGCAATGCACTATTTATCATGTTTATGTCTATATGCACCAAGTGCATGTCAAGTATTTTAAATTTGTGTTTGACTAATCCTTAATGTTCCACACAACGTTGATCTCTGAACACTCTCAGCACCTCTAAGCTTCATGTACCACACTACATCACTAATCCCTGTGTTACCGTATTCGATGTCATAAGCGCCCCGCTCTAATAAGCGCCCATGGTGATATTTGCTAATATATTTGCGAGTGAACAATCCCAATAAGCACCCTTTCCGACTGATTAATGTGCACATGACTTATTGATTTGTGTATAATATGCACTCATGTGTTATATGCACCCTTAATTGTGGGCAGTTAAATTCTGGAAAATATATCTGTCGTGTATGATATGCACATACTTTTCTTTTGTATCATTTCATGCTGTCAGCATAAACTACGAAATTTACAATTTTTCAACTCTGTTTTTGTTCTCACCAAAATTATATTCGAACAAGAGCCCACTATTTCCAATTTTGATAGCGCCATGGGTGCTTATTACATATCGAATACAGTATGTGTAATTTGTCCGGTTTCTTGCTGTGATCAAACTGGGTACTGCAAGATTATGTACATATGTTCCTCTCATGTTTTACAGCAAGACGTCATTAATTTATGTAAAGTCATGACACAGTCATCAGAGATTTGAGATTTTATTTATTTAGACTAATTTACGCATCTATGGTTCAACTTTGATAAATTGATAGGACCAGGGTGCAACCTTTTTTTTTATCGGGGATTTGTGATTACCTGTTTTTGTTTTAATAATTTCTTATTAATGATCTATTGATGTATATACTGTCTGATGTTCATTCATCAGGGGTGAGAATCTTCTGTGGTTCCGAAAATATTAGTGACCACAAATTTGTTAAAATCTGATGGCTTCCCCCTTAAACACCCCCAAATTATTGACCACATTCCTTTACAAAGAAGTTTCAACTGAAAAGGAAAAATATTTATTCTCATCCCTGATTCACACAGTCAGAAAAGTATTTGACTTTGAGCAAGTGGCACAGCTGTTGTGGATGGTGCTATACATGATTTCTGTTTTATAGGTTTGAAATCAGAGTTTGCATTTGTTATCTATGGTTTTCTTGCATTTTCTAATCATCCTTACCGTATTCGACGTAATAAGCGCCCCGCTTTAATAAATGCCCACGGCGATATTTGCTTATATATTGGCTATTGAACAATCCCAATTAGCACCCCTTCCGATTCATCAATGTACACAAGACTTATTTATTTGTGTATAATATGCACTTGTGTGTTATATGCACCCTTAATTATAGGCAGTTAAATTCTGGAAAAATATATCTGTCGTATATAAACATTTCAGGCTGTCAGCATAAACCACGAAATTTACGATCTTTCAACTCTGTTTATTTTTTACCCAAACAAAATTCTAATAAGAGGCCCCCATTTCTAATTTTAAGAGCTCCCTGGGCGCTTATTATGTCAAATACGGTATAGTGAATTATTTCATATGCATATGTAAAGGTATCAATTTACAAATTAAAAGTCATGAGCCTGGCATAACTTTGAGGAAATGCTTTAATATTGTTTTGTTTGAAGTTTGTTAAAGCAGATTCACACCATTTTCTAGAAGATCTTTGTGGAAGACCAGAATTTATGAGAATAGTTTCAGAATTATAATTTGATAAACCAGAAATTCAAAGATATTTAAAAACTCCTGGGACTATTTTGTTTAGAAATAGTACAACATCGCAGCTGGTCTTCCACAGGCCTGTAGTAAATAGTTGCAGATGCTTTAATATATATGTTACCTTGGTTACATATTGATACAAATTGGACTATATAATGAACAGTAATCAATCACACTTGTGAAGGTTTTCATTCTTAGTCTTTGTAGAGGCCTGTTAACATTGTGCAGTTTTATTACTGTGCCAGAGACCTTTAGGTCATTCAGATAATATGTAATTAAGCTGATCAATGGAAACAAGATAGTTGAAGTGCATTGTTTCTTGTATGGTACATTATTTTTTAAAGATGAAAAAAACCCATCATGACAAACAAAATATTTTGACAGTTACTTCATGTTCTTGAAGAAAAATACATCGTGTGGCTGCTTCCCAATTGCTCCTGCATTAATGCTTGTTTTGTTTGTGATTTTATTAGCAGGAATGTATGTTTCCCCTTGGCAAAAAAATGATGTCCACCAAAGCTTGGAGGAATAGAAATTCCAATGAACTTTAAGCTCTTCACGGACAATTACTTGTTGTAACATGTATCAATCTGTTGAGAGACAAAAATGAAACGGTAAAAATGTCTTTTTGAAATTACAAAAATAATTGCTCATATTTTTTTTACATTTGACAAGAAAAATCTGCCAACCGTTGGATTATTGGCCTTATTTTAGCTGTCTTTATTATTATTATATATACAAACAGGTCTTCAGCAACCCAAGCTTGCCGTAAAAGGGCGACTATGCTTGTTGTAAGAGGTGACTAACGTGATGAGGTGGTCAGGCTTGCTGACTTGGTTGATGCATGTCATCAATCCCAATTGCAAGGATGGAAGTTCATGATATCAATTACTGGATTGTCTGGTCCAGACTTGATTATTTACAGACTGCCGTTATATAGCTGGAATATTGCTGAATGAGGCGTTAACAACAAACAAACAAAACAAACAAAAGATATACAAATAGTGTTGTGCTCCTTACATATTCAGTGGGGTCACGGGTGGCCCAGTCATCTAAGGTGCCGCGATTCGCTATGCAGAGTTGCGTCTCTTGGGCACGCCAGAAACCTATGATTGTGGGTTCGAATCCCTGTTCGCCCCGATTATGTTTCTAGGTTTGTCAGCACCATACCCATGCTCATGGGTCTCACCGAATTGGTAAACGTCTGAGACATGCATCACTTCAGGCTTTCCTCCGGCATTGAGCTGACACGGCGCGATATAACTGGAATACTGTTAAAAGCAGCATTAAACCCAACTCACTCACTCACTCACTCCATATTCAGTGCTTGGTACAGGTTAAAGAATCACCACCGAACATGATAGCCTAAGAATGTGTAATCCATACCCATGTTCATATACAGTTTCATATACAGTTTACTTGCGTCCTGTGATCATTGCGTTGTCTGCTTATAAGAAGTAGGATGTACTTTATCAATAAATGATTGAATATATGACATCACTCAGTTGATGTAAAGTTTGTGTACTAAGATATGTGATTCTTGTTGATGTGTTATAGTGATTCTCATTTATGTTTATCAGTCTCATTTGTTTAGTCTGTTTTTTCCTCTGATCATGGAGTATTTTTTTCTCTGATCATGGAGTGTTTGTCTGTATTTTGTATCAGAACTTTTGTCTGTTTCAATATTATTAAAAAAAAGTAAAATGTATTTTTGAAGTTGCACTTCTTTATATATTTACCTGGAAGACAGCAATCCTGATTACCTCATGCTTGAACCAACTTAAATACTGATCAGATGGTCAGGCTCTGTGACTTGGCTGATTGCATGTCATCATACCCCAGTGGTGCAGCAGACCTGTGAAGATTCCGGGGTAGAATAGGTCTTCAGCAACCCATGCTTGCAGTAAAAGGCGACTATGATTGTCGTAAAAGGCGACTAACGGGATCGGGTGGTCAGGCTCGCCGACTTGGTTGATACATGTCATCGTATCCCAATTGCGTGGATTGATGCTCATGATATTAATCACTGGATTGTTTGGTCCAGACTTGATTATTTACAGGCCGCCGTCATACAGCCGGAATATTGCTGAGTGCGGCGTTAAACAACAAACCAACCAACCAGTGGTGCAGATAATTGCTCTTGTTTTTAGTTTGCCTGGTCTGGACCAGATTACTTACAGGCTCCATGATACAGTAGCATGCTACAGACCCCACCATAAAAGAACCTAGACCCACTCACTTGCTGGTAGACGATTAGCAGTCCAGTGAAAAGTGGCTGCTGTTTTTTTTATGTGAGAATTTGGCTGTTGCTGCAGCCGTTTCATTTCTCATGTCTTCCTTGCAAAGGTTATGTCAAAGAGGATCTCCTACCTTGCAAAGGTTATGTCAAAGAGGATATCCTATCTTGCAAAGGTTATGTCAAAGAGGATATCCTACCTTGCAAAGGTTAGTGACATAAGAGGATATCCTGCATGGACAGACCCGTGAAGATTGGGGTAGAATAGGTCTTCAGCAATCCATGCTTGCCGTAAAAGGCGACTATACTTGTCATAAGAGGCGACTAACGGGATCGGGTGGTCAGGCTCGCTAACTTGGTTGAAGCATGTCATCGTATCCTAATTGCGTGGATCGATACTCACGATGTCAATCCCTGGATTGTCTGATCCATACTCGATTATTTGCAGACCGCCGTCATATAGCTCGAATATTGCCGAGGGCGGCGTTAAACAACAAACATACAAATCCATTTGTTGAATTTGAAACGCGATATTATAAAATCCCAGCTCTCTTTTATGAAACCATAAATATAAAGAAGCATGACTCTACACTGTCAAACTAAGAAATAATTAGAGCAACATTTAAAATAAAGAGAGAGATGTTTGTTTGTTGTGTAACGCCGCACACAACAATGTCCGGTGGTCTGTAGAAACATCAAGTTTGGACCAGACAATCCAATAAATTGACATCATAACTAGACTGGGAGAAGTTAAGTTCAAGGAGCGAGAAATCAATATTATAACTCCGTTTGCCTGCAATAATTAGAGATCATTATTCGAACATTTCCCGAGTGAGAGCGAGGCGTAACATGAATTCTTACATGGGTTTCTCAAAATCAGTTTGATACACATGCGAGTATAATACTTTCTTTATATTATTACCCATTATTTCTTTATCCTTTTGAGGTCCCCTTAAGAAAAATGTACTCCATCTTGGTAAACCACAATTATAGAATGAGTGAGTGAGTGAGTATGGTTTTTCACCGCTTTTAGCAATATTCCAGCAATATCACGGCGGGGGACACCAGAAATGGGCTTCACACATCGTACCCATGTCGGGAACGAACCCGGGTCTTCGGCGTGACGAGCGAACGCTTTAACCACTAGGCTACCCGACCGCCCAATTATAGAATGAGGTCTGGAATCTTCAGCTTCACAATAAGATTCGAATGACATCAACAATGCTGTCTCGATGACATGAACACCAGAATGGTGTGCGTGAAATGATATTTTCACTCGTACATTAACGATTCTTATGAACTCGGATAGATATTTCTAACCCTATGGGTAATAATGTTGTTTAATATTCATGGTAAATATTTGTGAATGGACGCGGAAACATCTTCACATACACATCTTATATTTTATAGTTGTATTGAATCTGTTTTATTTACCTTTTGTTTTATTGTGCATGTTATTTATAGTTTCATAAATTGTTCCTATGGCGATGTGGCTGATATATTGCCTGTATGTGTTTAATTCACTCTCCAACTGAAGAAGAAAAGCAGCCATTGAGAAAACCTAGTACGTTAACAACAAACAATATTGCAATATGAGCTTAACAATGGGACTTGAAAATAGACACATAAACGAAGTTACCCCACACAAGAAGCTGTGTCTGTAGTTATGCATGACATGAAATACAATTTATTCATTTTTCCCTGTAACTGTTTACTGTTCAAAGTAGAGTGAGTGAGTTGGGTTTAACGCCGCTTTTAACAGTATTCCAGTTATATCACAGCATGTCAGCTTAATGTGGGAGGAAAGCTCGAAGTGATGCAGGTCTCAGACGTTTACTACTTCGGTGAAACCCACGAGCACAGGTATGGTGCTGACAAACCTAGAAACATACCCGGGGCGAACCGGGATTCGAACCCACATGGGGTCTGGCGTGCCCAAGGGACGCAACTCAGCACACCGAATCGCGGCGCCTTAAACGACTGGTCCACCCGTGCCCTCCGTTCAAAGTAAAGGAAATGCTTCATGCAATCATGACACTTATCGATCACAGCACGCATATTAACCCAGTGTGACCTACCTCGTGCTTTGATACACGCTTGTCCTTACCTGGTATGTGCCCCCTGATACCCTAAACCGAAAGTAAGTCGTGCGCATGTGTATGGCGCATGTGTATGACACACAGACAGGGTTGTTGTTCTGCACACACCCCTCGAAAGATTTCTGCAGAAGCTTGAAGTGACGTTACATGACACAGGTGAGGAGAGTTTATGCTTGAGTAACATCCTTGGGTAGAGGCTTGTTGTTATAACCCGGAATCTCCACGGCGGCAGAGGCAGGATCTTTAGACACAATGTAGAAATTGGTTATTGTTTTTGACAGGGCATTTTTATACCGGATATAAGTCTGTTGGTAAAGGTATGGGACATCTTCTCCTCGTTCGCTATATGCTTAAAACTGTATGTGTATCTGGTAGGGCTGGGACGAGTCCAAATTTACTACCCCCTATTACTCGACCCTACCCGGGTACCCGCTGTAGGTCTCAAGAGGTAGGGGGGCGGTCGGGTAGCCTAGTGGTTAAAGCGTTCGCTCGTCACGCCGAAGACCCGGGTTCGATTCCCGACATGGGCACAATGTGTGAAGCCTATTTCTGGTGTCCCCCGCCGTGATATTGCTGGAATATTGCTAAAAGCGGCGTAAAACCATACTCACTCACTCACTCACTCAAGAGGTAGGTACAAACTGTCCGATTGGGAACACTTTGACCGTAGCTCTGGTAATATGTGTTTAGATACATGTAAAAAACGATCTGGTGTATACACTGAAGTTGACTGAAGTTGAATTTTTATTCAAACATATAAAAGTCAGAAGGGATGGTCGTAGTAGTCAGGAAGAACTGCGAACATTACATTGACTTGTAGTTTAAACATAGAGTGTTTGATACTGTTTGTCATTAAATCCACCCGACCCGAGTACCCGTGTTACCCGTCCCAGCCCTAGTATCTAAAGCTGTGAACACCGATCTCATCCTATTCGCTCTCATGAGGGGCGGTGGGGTAGCCTCGTGGCTAAAGCGTTCGCTCGTCACGCCGAAGACCCGGGTTCGATTCCCGACATAGGTACAACGTGTGAAGACCATTTGTGGTGTCCCCGCCGTGATAATGCTGGAATATTGCTAAAAGCGGCGTAAAAGTATTCTCACTCACTCACTCGTTCGCATGAAATGTGTATCCCCCATTTGCCTCACTTCCGGGTTTTGTAGTCCTAAAGTCAGTAATACTATACCCTTCGGGAGATTGAAAGCTGTGCGTCATTCTATATGGAAGGATGTCAGTTCTTATGGGGTTTGTATACACATCGTGTTACGTAGTGTAAAGAGTAAGTGAGTGAGTTGGGTTTAACGCCGCTTTTAACAGTATCACAGTTATATCGCGGCGTGTAAGCTTATTATGGGAGGAAAAACCCAGGAGCTCGGAAATGGTGCTGACAAACCTAGAAACATAATCGGGGCCAACCAGAATTTGAACCCACAATTATAGGTGTCTGGCGTGCCCAAGGGACGCAACTCTGCACAGCGAATTGTGGCGCCTGAGACGACTGGGCCACACGTGCTGCCGCCATGTAGTGTAAAGAAACACATAAAGTATTGGCGATGACATCCCGTATCAACGCGAGTGTTATAGATGTTATTGTTAACAAATTTGTTAGTTTTATGGCACTAACACTCTCACAAATAAATGAGACATGCACCGCGTATGAGTACGTAATACCTCAGATTCATGTAACGAGCATGTTATTTTCCTTGCATGAAAGGTGTTGGACATGGGATGTTGAAATCTGTTAAATAGCCACTGTATACCCCATGACCACCATTGGGGCACGGGTGGCCCAGTCATCTAAGGCGCCGCGATTCGATGTGCAGAGTTGCGTCCCTTGGATACACCAGAAACCTATGCTTGTGGGTTCGAATCCCGATTCCCCCCGATTAAGTTTCTAGGTTTTTCAGCACCATAGCCGTGCTCATGGGTTTCACCGAAGTGACACGCAGCGATAAAAGCGCCGTTTAACCTAATTCACTCACTCACCCATGACCGGCGTACCAGTAAGGGCTTTAGCAACAAACCATTTAAATGTAAAGGTTCTTGTTTTGTTTCTCCAGTAATATATCCGATCCCCACACGATTGTACCCCCCAAATATACTACTCAAAAGATATAAAAAACACCCCATTCTTTCACAGCACTATTGTTAATCAGGCATTGCGTGACAGATTACCGATAGTAATATGAACGATTCGAATTTTATTTGCGTAATATATTACTTGTTACTGTAATTAACGACTTCTTTTGTACCCCATTGACAGTGCACACCAGTGTAGGAGAATATATGATACCTCACACTCAAAACAGCATGCACAGACATATTCACAGTGAGTTGTAAATATGAGTGAGTGAGTATTCTTTTGCACCGCTTTTAGCAATATTCCAGCAATATCACGGCGGGGGACACCAGAAATGGGCTTCACACATTGTACCCATGTCTGGAATCGAAACCGGGTCTTCGGCGTGACGATCAAACGCTTTAACCACTAAGCGACCCGATCGCCCCTGTAAATATGAAAATATATATCCAGATGTCATGTACATGAATGCAATTTTGTATTCACTGAACTTTATGGCTCAGTATTAGAACGGAGGCGCCCGCACGATGCCTATAAGTAGTCTATGTCATGGCCTCTATGCGTTTCCTCCATGACTGGACCTAATGCAATTTATTTCTGTTTTCAATGTAGACAGAACAGCAATAGCTGAAAGATATAATCACAAAAACAACCAGAAGGCTGTAGTTCCTGTCCTGAAGAAATATTTTCATTGAATACATTTGAACATTCTATGAATTGCCTCAAAATAGTTGGTACAAATGATTGCAGTGCAAACGTTTGGCATCAATGATATTTCCTGGATTATCTTTCCTAGATCCTTGATTTTGTTTTCAATTTATTTTATATGCTTTTCATGCAGTCAATATATTTCATATAACAGATCACAATGTCGGAACTTGTCTCAGTCAATGCGATCAAAGATGAGCTAGTTGAGTGTCCAATATGTACAGAGCACTTTGATGATGACAGTCACATGCCCCGTCGTATGCCCTGCTGTGTACAGTCTATTTGCGAGTCCTGTTTGGAGACCTACTGCAAAGGACGTCAGATCATACCATGCCCTTTGTGTCGGCACCAACATAACCTACCTGGCGGTGTGAAGTCTCTACCAAAAGAGCGTCTCATTCTTAAGTTCCTGGAACATCTGAAGGTCAAGAAAGGTATCCGTCTGCCATGTACAGATTGTCCTGATAATGAAGCAGCCACTGCCCAATGTATGAACTGCAGATTATTCCTGTGTTCGATATGTCTAAATGCTCATACAAGGAACAAAGTCACAAGAAAACACAGGACAGTGACTTTTGAAGAGATGAAAGTCTTGCCCCAGGAGAGTTTTGAATTCCGGCATCAGTGTTTCCAACACGAACAGCCACTACAGTTCTATTGCTATACCTGCAGACTTGTGATCTGTGTATCTTGCACTGTACTCGAGCACGATAAAGGGAACGGACACAAAGTTGTTTCTATTACTGAGGCGCACCACAACATAGCACATGCCACTGACGACACTCTTGTCAAACTTGACGAGAAGGTAGAAAAGCTCAGCGGAACAGAAGCAGATCTAAAACAAAAACTTGTCGAGTTAGAACATTCCAAGAAAGCTGCCAAAGATAGCCTTGACCAAAGATTTGATAAAATAATAAAAGAAGTTCAGGACAGAAGACGCATCCTTTTGTCACACCTTGAAGACGTTTATAGTAATAGTTTTAAGCTGACGAACGAGGCCTTAGAGTCAACCAAACAACTGCGAAACAAGGTAAAGTCTTCTTTGGCCTACACACGGCAGATTAGGAGTAGAGCTGACCAGACAGAAGATCTACAAATTATGACATCATCGGCTGCTTCTTTCACAAAGATGCTGCAGGAGTCTCTCATTGAGATACAATATACGAGGACAGGCGTAGGCTTTGTACCTGCCAACCTGACCCAGCTTTCCTCCGCAATCCAGGGAGCAGGACTGATAAGGTCAGTCGCATACTTCCCAACACAGAGGCCGGTATATGTACCAGGAACTGACGGATACAATGCCATCACACTGACACCTGCAGAATTTCAAAAGGGTAAAATATTTTTTATTATGTAGGAAAAAAGATCTATAAAATGTTATTGTCGACATGAGATAGCTGTGGTTCGACAATTTGTGACAACTAATGACCCATGTCTACTTTTAATGACATATTTTTTTAACTAAATGTAAACAATTGGATATATATATATATATATATATATATATATATATATATATATATATATATATATATATTATTGTAGTTTGTTTGAGTATGTTGAAGTAAAACTAACATTTAGTTTTTAAAAAGATAAAGGTAAATCATAATCTTTAATTCGACAGGTGTTGAATCTACAGTTAGTTAAATTGTAATCTGTTTCAGTCGATGATGTGGGCAAGACCATTTCCAGTGGAGATAAAGCCATTTCATGTGAGATGTCATGTATTTAAGCTCCAACTTATCTTACTCATGTGCCCATCAACATAAGGGGCACTGCTTGACCTGTGATGTAAGGCTCCTGTGCAGATTTCCGTCGACAGTTATGCCAGTGTCTGATGATGATGGGTTTGAATCAAAATTTAACCCTGACTATGACTCTTTGCTTGTCTACATCATACGCATGCTCGTCGGTTTCACAAGCACCAGATGCTTGCCGTAAGAGGCGACTAACCAGATCGGGTGGTCAGGCTCGCTGACTTGTATTTTGTTTGTCATAATATCCCAATTGGGCAGATCGATGCTCATTATCTCATTCACTGGATTGGCTGGTCCAAACGCGAATATTTACAGACCGCCTTCATATAGCTGGCCGCGTTAAATAACGAACAGACAAAAAATCCCAAGCTACAGATAGTCGTGAAAGATAGATGGATAGATGAAGGACATTTAAAAAAAAAACATATAACTGTTCATATGATTTGCTTTGTCTTGTACTATATATTTCGCTGAAATGAAATGTAACTTTTTTCACTTCTAGGAATAATACATGGGAGGTGGAAAATACATATTTCGTCTTGTATCATTTTAATAAAAACATTCTCTGTTATGAGGCGTCTGTCAACTTGAATGGGTGTTATGCAATACTGATTCAATGATGTGTATTTGTGGATTAGACTTACAATGAATGTGTTTTGTGTTATTGGTTTGTCTTTTGTTTCCTCCCTAGGTCCGCTCCTTGAATGGGACTGCAGTACAGCGAGTGACGACATCACTGTTTCTGATACTTTGGTAACAAATGAAAAGCCCAAGACTCCGCCACAAGACACAGGATGTCGAATAAGGTCGTGGAGACGTCTATTGACATCAAGACCTTTGGTTATCAGAGGTGGAAGCCGAGAGATGTTTCTGGTGAAAGTCAGCTTCTCTTTGAAACAGGTCACTGAGAAAAGAAGCATGGTGTTTGAGACAGCAATGACTGCCAACCCCGCAGATACTTGCTGGAACCAATCAACTGGACTGAGTGTACGCATCATAGGATGTCCAAAGCATAAGCACCAGCTCTGTCTCTGGGTTAGGTTTGATGACAAGCTCCTCGTTGATATACCTATTGCTTGCAATCAAATTGGTGGGGCAGGTGCCTTACATCTAGGCTTTCTACTGGACGGTAGGAGAAGTAAAGTGAATGTTGTTGACCTTGACAACACTACAGTGATTCAGTCTGTGACTGACATTGTGTTTGACAGACCATTCTGGGTCATGGCGTATCTAGATGCATCCCAAGATTCAAACATGACGTGTGAACTTGTATCAGGTCACAACATTACACTCTCAGAAGGAATGACCAAGTTGTTGTTAGCTCTATAGGAAGGTGACTGGACAGGGGAATAAACGTGTAAAATGCGGAAAGAAGGAGCCAGTAAAACATCGTTGGAGAGGATGGTCCCTTGGGCAGAATCCGACGTCCATTGTGGAAGAATAAAGACTTCATGATTATCCCCCCCCCCCCCCCCCCCCCCCGTTCAGATACCAGGGACCATTGTATGCATCTCATCCCATCCTTTCTTGCTCACCCAAAAGGATCGAACCATATTGTGTCTTAAATTCTACTCTACTATGTTTTATTTCAGATGTGGAGGACACGTGATGAAAATTATGCCGATGTAATTCCTTGTTAAACTTTACCTTATGTTCCTGCGTTTGTGCAGGGGAACTCTTGAACAACTTTTGCATGTGTTTGTGACGGGTGCCACCGGTGGACCTGGATGCTCTCACCTTATCATCACTAATTGATGGTGATTCATAGACACCTGCTTTCGATATAGTCGGAATCGTGCAACAGACTTTGCCTTCAAGCAGAGATTTTTCTTTATATTCTGTAACAGCTTTTGTAACTTTTAATTCATAGTCTACCGAAACGCTAAATACGCAATGCTGATGTTTCTTGATATATCTTTGCAGTACTAATTGATTGATTCTTTTAATTGAAGACAGAAAGTTATCATCAGTGTTTCACATAACAATATATAGATGAAATTGCAAATGATTTAGAGATTATCCCACGACATACGTTTCTTTTTGTGAAATGAACAAAAATATAGGTTTCCGTATCACATAGATATATAAGCTCAGTAAATATATTCTCTGACGTCATTCACAAAGGATGACTTCATATTTGAATATTTGCAACTATGCTTGATATGACGTGACGTCGTTATGTGCTGCATCTCACATAATGGGACATTTGGTGTGATCCAGCCAATTGACGTGAAAAAAAATCCTCTTGCACAGTGAGAATTACTAATTTAATAATTGCACCGCTTTTCTCGCCTGATGGGTAAAAATGACCCTACAATCTAAGAGAAGGTGCGGAGCATCTATCTCGAGTTAATTTACCAATTCACTAAAGACAGATTAACAGTAATTCGGAGTTGCGAGTTATTCTTCATACTACCCGAGAGACACGGCAACCCGCCTGCACTCTGCTTGACTCTTTTACTTTATCAGTAACTAGCAGGGAGGGAAAGAGTGGGTACGGTTTTTACGCCGGTTTTAGCAATATACCAGCAATATCACGGTGGGGGACACCAGAAATGGGCTTCACACATTGTACCCATGTGGGAAATCGAACCCGGGTCATCAGCGTGACGAGCGAACGGTTTAACCACTAGGCTACCCCACCGCCCCACCACCCCACCACTGGGGAGATGTAGATTCCGTATACTTACCAAGATGTCCCGTGACATGTTGAACTTGGCAGATATGTATCTATGTCACTCGACTATGAGTTTCACAGTAGTGATTTTGTTCTTAATCGTGTCCTTTGTCACAATCATCAACCTGAGCAGAAAATCAAGTATCTGATGATGCAGTGTAGTACACGGGTTCCCGGTGTGAACACATATGTTGTTCACATTTTCGTATTTAGTATGTTGATGGGGTTATTATCACCCTGATCATGAAAAGGGTAATTTTAACAAAAAGCTACGAAAATCACACGCACGGCCAAAGTACAGAACTGAATTAATATCAAATATACGCCTTTATAAACGGATTAACTATGAGTCTTGACACCAGTAAACATGCCTTTGTTTATCCCTCTTGATTCCTCTTGATTTCTGCCTTGTCGCCATTACCCCTGATATACAAAACCTGTAATTTAAATGATTGTGTCTCAACTTGCAAAAATAATTATTTTTCTTCTGGAACACCATTTTCGATTAACAACACAAATTAACTAAAGAAATACAAAGATAGATCAAACCAAGATAGATATCATATATTCAGATTATACACTTTTGATTGTACTCAGAGTGATATTGCACATTATCATAGAGCCAACATGACGACGGTCATATCACAGGGGGTGTATATAAAGTAACCAGACCCTCGTTACACCCCTGCGGGGATGATGAGGCTTTTCAGTGCATTTTGAATGGGCGATTGATATCAGCCCCGGATGGAGTGCGTCCTCTGCTCGGCTAACTTTCCCATGACAATGTCTTCTAAACAAGGTGAAAATGTTATGGATGCGTTTTGCATTTTTTTATTGTGTATGATAAAAATGTTATTTTATCGACCACCATTCATTTGGCCCACGTTATGACATGGGGGTCTCGGTTTGATATGGAGTATGATATGAAAGCTGTTGTTTAAAAACTGGAGTTACCACTGACACTGGTAATATGAATTCCTTTATATATTTGTTCCGACAGCTACTCCCATATTCGTCTGCAAGAGGTCTGTGCATATACGTGCCTGGTTGTATTCACGACACACCACAAGGTGTGATCGAAGTACATTGTTTACAACTGACCTATGTACCATTGTATGAGACTGCACACACCATACAAGGTAGTCATGTCTTCAGAGCCGTTATTGTGCAAATACGTACGGTCCTGGTTGTATCCGTGGCACCCCACACGGAGTTATCGAAGTACACTGTTTACAACTGACCTATGTACCATTGTATGAGACTGCACATGCCATACGAGGTAGGCATGTCTTCAGAGTCGTTATTGTGCAAATACGTACGGTCAACAAGGAGTTATCGAAGTGGACTGTTGACAACTGACCTACTTTACTGTTACATGACACGACACAAACCATACAAGGTATTCATTCCGAGTAGTTCTTATCACGAAAGTAGCTAGTGCGCGTGTGCAGATAAGGCGAAGGTCGTTTAGTGTCTGCAGTAGGCGCCTCCTGTTCAAACCCTCTTCTCTACTGTCATTTCTCGAAGGTAAGAAAGTGACTCGGTGTGTTAATAATGACATGTCGCCTTACCAGGATCACACAACGTTTGTAATTTAGCAGCTTTACCTTTGGACTAGTGATTGTATAAATATATGTGAATCGCGAGTTACTTCCTGGTTCTTATCAACACCTGAATGAAATAGGTCGCCCTGGACCACGTCAAAGTTTGTTTCTCAATCGCAAGAAGCCTCTATATACAGAATATAAAATTAAGGTTATATATTTCACAATGTAAATTGACGAGTGCTGTTCGAGTTTTATGACTATTTTGTAAGACCCTGTGAATATACATGAAAACGAAAGTAGCCGCAATGTTCAGATTTTAACAAGTTGATCACCAACACACGCATATAATTATAACTTACTGATATTTTGACATTTCACGCGTTTCACAGTTTAGGAAAGTTAAAACAGTAAAGCTTTTTCAAAATGTTTGCATTCCTGCAGGAGCTGCCCACTAGGTTCCGCACTACACACTACTTCAGTATATGATGTGATCGTGTACACAGCGTAGTGACCTACTTTTCTAAGGCATGGAGTATTTCTTTGGCGAAAGTGTCGACTGCACTTGTACATTCATGGACTACATCAAGGTTAGGTGAGGTGAAATGGGGTTTAACGTCGCGTCCAAGATTATTGCACTTATATAGCGACGTGCATGTACGTGTGTGTGTTTGTGTGGCTGCTTGTACTAGTCCGGACTGATGCCGATTAATAGTGCTAGCTCACTGAGATACCATGCCGCAGTTTAACATGAATACCCCACTCAGACACAGTATACTGACTCCGAGCCGACCAGTCCTTGTTTTAGCCCCTTAAAGCCGAGCTCCAGACAGGGTAACAACAAGTACCATCTTTTAACGTCTTTTGGTATGACGCGGCCGGGGATCGAATCCCGGACCTTCCGCTCTCCAGGCGGACGCTCTACCACTAGACAACGGAGGCGGTCATTGAACTACATCAAACGCATATATGTACGAGTGAGTGAGTTGGGTTTAATGGCGCATTGAACAGTATTCCAAGGCGTGTCTGCTCCCTGACTTTGGTCACCCGTGGCTGTACGTTATATCAACCAATCTTAATAAACCCTGCAGATACAAAAACGCACAAAATACAATTAAAGCTCCACATACAAGTCTATTTTATATACATTGATCCAGAACTCATGAAATCAGCTGCCGGAGTACAATACTTTCACACTGCGAGTTGTGTATTTGACGAGTAAAATCATGAATATCTTCTTGGTTCTTATGAACGCTTGGATATAACACTTCCAGTTTGTAACATGCCTGTGAAGGGATGATATTTCGATGTTAAGGTCTTGAAGCTGATCCATTGTTTCCCAACTATGCCTTTGCTCATGGAATGCTTAACATGTACAATACACACATATAACCAATGGCTCACGACACATCACAATAAAAGAAATTGATACCAGTTCATATATCATGTTCATTATCATTATGTCTTTTCCCAGACAAACATGTCGGATCTTGTGTCAGTGGCTGCGATCAAGGATCTTCTGACAGAGTGTCCAATATGTACAGAACACTTTGATGAGTCAACACGAATTCCTCGTCGTATGCCATGTTGTGTACAGTCTATATGTCAGCCCTGTCTGGAAACCTACACTGGAGGTGCTGCAACCCTATCCTGCCCCATGTGTCGACACCGACATAATCTGCCTGGAGGGGTGAAATCTCTGCCCAAAGAGACTCTCATCCTGAAGACTCTGGACTACCTCAAGATCCAGAAAGGTCTCCATCTTCCATGTACAGATTGCCCTGACAAGGAAACAGCTGTAGCCCAGTGTGATAACTGTGGAACATTTTTATGTTCCCTTTGCTTAAGTGCTCATAAACGGAATACGGTATCAAAGGCCCACACTATAAATACCTTTGATGAAATGAAGGGCCGACCTGTGGATAATTTTCGTCGTCTACATCAGTGTAGTCAGCACCAACACCCTCTACAGTTCTACTGCTACACTTGTGACAATGTTGTCTGTGTGTCCTGCACTGTAGTGGATCACAAAGAAGGAAAGGGACACAACGTCGTATCCGTGAATGAAGCACACCAAGGAAAGGCGAAGTCCACAAATGATGTTTTAGGAAAGTTAGAAGAGAAGACAAAGAGACTGAGCGAAACGGAGTCAGCCCTTCAAAAGAAGATAGAGAACATCAAATTGTCAATGAGCGTAGCAAGAGATGATATCAATAAAATCTTTGACAACCTGACCGAT